TATCCAGTTCCTTTTAGAAAGCATACATATTAAAGTCTCCACAAATGTGTTAACTCATATTAAACATTTGTGTATTTAGATTTATATTAAAAATGACTGATTTAATAACTCATTAATTTAATAACTTAATAACTTATTTAAAATGGAGGCCATATTCCGAACATTTTTCACTTGAGGAAACCTTGAGGAAATGTTAACTTGAAACTTTTAAAACTGCACCTGTCCTGTAATAATGACTATTCTCTTCCTGTTCTTGTCTCTCTCTTATGTTTAAACAAGATCTAATGTGGAACCGTCTGGAAAGCTGGAACACAGTATCTCCCAGAGGATCTCTGATTTCCTCCAACTTTATCCATACTTAAACATTCCTGATGAGCTTTTTCCTGCAGGGCACCAGCTTTCCCTCTTTAGCTTCAGCAACATGAACAAATATAAATTGAAGAACATGTTAAAACATATTCAATTTTTCCCTTTCTTACTTTCTTTCTTTCTTTCTTTCTTTCTTTCTTTCTTTCTTTCTTTCTTTCTGTCTTTCTTTCTTTCTTTCTAATCACACAGTCCAACCTGCACAAACTCTAAAATGTCATGTACAAACAGGGTGAGACGGGGTCGGGGTCATGACCCTGCTTTAGATGCTGACCCCTACAGATGCAGGCAGTTGTTAGTAAGAGTTTGAGGCTTGTGTTCCTCTGGTGTGGACAGGTTGGTGATGTGGGAGAATCAGCATCACAGGCTTTAGAGCAGAAGTAGCTTAGTGTCTGTGAGTCTGACAGATTGAGAATTGTGGTTGTGAGAAAGAAGAATAGGATTGAGTACTAACAAAGTTATTGTGGGTCTGTGTGAAGTCAAGTCTCAGGCCATCTACATGATTCAAAAGTGAATGTGAACTGCCAGTCAGCCAGAGAGAGGAGTACAGAATTATCTTTCAGATCACATTAATAACTTCCACACATTACACACTTAAATCATAAGAAACTCCAGATACAGAATTCAACATGCAGTCATTATTATTCCTGTGTGAAAAGATAAGATCTGTAAACTATAGAGATATTTTAAAATACTGCACATGGAGTATTGAGTATATTGCACAGAGGAAATGGTGAGGAATTCACAGTTTATGTGCTGTAGGTGTGTGAGGTCTAATGGGATGTGGAGGAGGATTCTACTGGGAGCAGTCCTGGTTGTATAGTCTAACAGCAGCAGGCAGGAAGGACCTGCGATAGCACTCCTTCACACACTTTGGGTGAAGCAGCCTGTCAGTGAAGGAGCTGCCCAGTGCTGCCACAGTCTCATGCATGGGGTAGGAGCTGTTCTCCAGCAGGGAAGCTTGTCTGGCTAACATCCGTCTAGGTGTCAAGGGGGCATCCCAGGACAGAGCTGGCCTTCTTAATGAGTCTGTCAAGTCTCTTCCTGTCCGCAGTTGAGATGTTGTTGCCCCAGCAGACCACTCTATAAAAGATGGCTGATGCCACAACAGTGTCGCCCCCTGCACTCCAAACAACCTCAGTCTCGTGAGCAGGTAGAGTCAATAGAGTCTGCTCTGGCCTTTTCTATAAAGTGTACTAGTGTTTTCTGACCAGTCCAGTCTATTGTTAAAGTAAAATCCCAGGTACTTATAAGAGTCCACTCACTCAATGTCCAATCCCTGGATGTTCACTGGTGGAGGGAGGTGACTGCATCTGCGAAAATCCACACCATCTCTTCGGACTTCCCCGCATTGATCAGGAGGTGGTTCCTCAGACACCAGTCCACAAAGTCCTGGGTCAGTTCTCTGTACTCTCAAATTATCAGCATAATAATTATACATTTATTATGGGCTTGTAAATGACATAAGAAGGACAGAGTCCTGAATCCTGTTCTTACAGTGTAAGCAGTAAAAAGTGAAACCTGACAAAAGTTGACGAAGTGCTTTTGAGGTTCTAATTGATGTAAATATTGCATTGCAAATATTGCATAACATTGCATTTACTAAAGATGGCTTTTGATTGACTAAAGATGGCTTTTGATTTACTAAAGATGGCTTTGTAAATACTGTGTAACAACCAACTTCACAGTCCAGAAGCTGTGTATAAGCCTAACTAGCACTTACCGTGAGCTTGCCTCATGCTTCAAATGGTGCTACACTGTAGAAAATGGTTTGTCAGTTCAACCTAAAAAAATTTAATTAATGTGGTAACAAGTGGGGAGGGTCAGGTGTGGTCAGAGGGGCTTAAGTGTAAAAGCAGCGAATCTCAGGTTTACTTCTGTCCAACATTATCTTCACTCAAACTCAACTGCTCCCATGACAGTGATAGTGTTCTGTATAAGTGTGTTGGAGAACTGCAGTCAAAGTGCAAAGCAGTAAATGTGTTTGTACTTTTGGTGCCTTTGTTTAAATCATGGTTACAAAAGTTAAGGTTCTGAAGCTTTGGTCTAAGCATTCACTTTCAGTGTGTAAGCATTTATCATGTACTGTCTTTCATTTATTACAAAATAATTACAAAGCAGCTCGTTCCTCAGTTCAGATCAGTATAATTACATATTTAACTCCATCGATTTTGCAAAATGAATTAATTAATCTAAGGTTTAGATGTAAACAAAATTGTTCAGAGTAGTTTGGTGTGAAATGCTTCTAGGGAAATTTACTGAGTCAACTTACATGTGTCTTGTAAGTTTTTATATGTCGCGGTGATAATGGTAAAATAGTGATCAATTGGAAAAAAAACAACAACAACAAAAAAAACATTTTCTTTGGGTACTATTTTTTCCTTACTACGCCCTGCGTGTACCTCGCCTCTCCGCCCGACTGTCTAACGTGGGCCACGCAAAAAAATACAAAAGTGATCTACCTCGCTATCCTACCGCATAAACTGGTAAGCGGAGTAGCAAGTCGTTTTTTTTTTTTTTTGAGACCAGCACTTTCCATTCGCCCTGGGTTGCTCTGCGTGGGCGCCGGCCTGTACTTTATTCCTATATTCCTGCAGAACAGGAGGCAGCAGTTTCAGGACCGCAATTCCAGGACCAAATGTTTTTGCGACACTTCCCCCTGGCTGTAAATTTCTTTGGAAAGGCACATTTCGGATCGAACCACTCCGAATGATTCTGTTCACATCTAAACCTCTCAATGATTAAGTAATTTTGTAAAATAGGTGGAGTTTCCCTTTAAATTTTCTTCGTATTTTGTTCTGTCGTATTCTTGTTTATCTGTATTTTGACTTAAAACATGTGTTAGAAGTTTATCAGTGTGCGTGTGTACGCATGTGTGTGTGAGGGAATGTGTGTGTGTGTTTGTTTGAGTGAGTGAATAACTGAATAAGTGATAACAAAGAAAGTTTCATTCAAGTACTCATACGCAGCCAAACAGTTAGTAGATAAGTCAATAAGCAAGTAAGTGAACGAGTGAGCAAGAAAGTGAGCCAATAAGGGAGCAAGAGTGCAAATGAGTGAGTGGGTGAGTGAGTGAGCGGATTTGTGAGTGAGTGAGTATGTTGACATGATGGCTAATTATTGAGTGGATGTGTAAGCAAGTGAGTGACTGAATGAGTAAGTGAGCAAATAAGCAAATGCGTGAATGACTGATTGGGTCAGTAAGTCAGTGAGGTAGTGAGTTAAAATCATGTCTTGAGTATTATTTTCTCAGTGTATTAATATTGAGAGTAAATCAGTTAAATGAGAGTTTAGTGTATATTAGATGAAATGTACAGTTAGAGTAGATCTACATGTAGTGTAGTGTGTTAATTCTGCTGATAAGCATCTATTAGGCAGCTGAAGATAAACTGTGTGATTCCTGTAAAACTTCCATTTTTGGACATACAGAAAAACCACACAGCTGCAGGTGTGTGTGTGTGGGTGGGGGTTTGGGGGATGACACTGTGAGTGTGTGCACACGTGTGTGTGTTTGTGTGTTTGTGTTAATGTTTGTGTGTGTCTGAGAGAGTAGGTTATTAATGTGTGTGTGTGTATGTGTGTGTGTATGAGAGAGTGTGTGTGTGTGTGTAGGTGATTGGAGTGTGAGTGTAAGTAGTGTGTGTGTGTTTGAGAGTGACAAGAGGTATTTATGTGTGTGTAGGTTATTATTGTGCGTGTATGTGTTTGTGTGTGTGAGTGAGTAGGTTATTTATATGTATGTATGTGTGTGTGTGTGTGTGTGTGTGTGTGTGAGTAGGTTATTTATGTGTGTGTGTGTGTGTGTGTGTGTGTGAGAGAGAGAATGAGAGTGAGTAGATTATCAATGTGTTTGTGAGTAGGTTATCAGTGTTTGTGTGTGTGTGTGTGTGTGTGTGTGAGTGAGTAGGTTATTTATATGTGTGTGTGTGTGTGTGTGTGTGTGTGTGTGTGTGTGTGTGTGTTTAAAAGAGAGAGAGCGAGAGAGTGAGTAGGTTACCAGTGTTTGTGTGTGTGTGTTTGTGTATGTGTGTGTGCAGTGTGTGTGTGTGTGTGTGTGTGTGTGTGTGTGTATGTGTGTGTGTATGTGTGTGTGTGTGAGTAGGTTATCAGTGTGTGGGTGTGTGTGTGTGTGTGTGTGTGTGCATAGTGTGTGTGTGTGTGAGTAGGTTTTAGTGTGTGTTTGTGTGTGTGTGACAGAGAGAGATGGTTATCAGTGTGTGGATCAGCTCTCTGCAGGTGCAGCATTAATGCTGTATTACACTGGAGTGTTTCCTCTCTCTGAAGTCAGTCTCCTGTATGTTGGTGTGTTTCTCACCACACTGCTGCGAAAGTCTCTCCTCACACACACACCTCTAGAGACGGAGGTGGAGTTCTGTTCATCAGTGCTGACGCTCTTTTGATAAATATGGAGAAAGAAAAAAATGCCTCCTCTGATTTGTCACTGAAAATGTTTGATGATTTCCTCTTCTCTTTCTAATAAGGTCATAGTGAGTGTGATTGGCAGCTGTGGGGAGCTCTCTATCTCTCTCTCTCTCTCTCTCTCTCTCTCTCAGTTTCTTCAGTCTCTCTGGGGGAGTGGAGGTGAAGCTTGTTCTGCTGCTGAGTTGAACGGACTGTGTGCAGGTCAGAGGGAGATGGACAACTGTGTGGCTCTCATTCTTCTTTCCTCTGCAATCACCCTCATCACAGCTGGTTAGTACTTACAATTACAAAATTAAACAATTAAACAATGTTAAACTGTGTGGAGAAAACATAACAGAAAATTGAAAAATAGTGAACAAGAAAGTACTAAAATTTAAGCTCTTGCCTGTAAAACTAGTTCATATAATTTAACACTCTTTGGGTTTGGGAATGTATGTGTGCATATGCCTTGCTATCTTCGTGAGGACTACATGTCCTCACAATAATAGGACAACATGACATTTTTGTCCTTACTTAAGCACAGGTTGCTTTCACCACAAATGATATTTTTTTCCAATCCTCTTTTCAGATGCCGAGGCTAAGGATAGGATAGGTGTATGTGTAGGATTATTTGGCTACAGTAATACACAAATAGAAACCTAAGGAAGTCCTTACAAGGAAGAGAAGATTGAACTAGTTTTATTCAACTTAAAAAAAACTACATTGATTGAAAGAATCGTTCATTCAAAGTATTTATTTAGGTTGAATAAAACTAGTTCAATTGCTTGTTACCACATGAAGTAATTTTTTTAGATAGATCTGATGAGCCACTTTTTACAGTTGTTGTGACATCTAAACATCTAACATCTAAAAGCTATACTGTAAAATGTGGAACAGGGCAGAAGTTGATTTAAAGTGCTTTTGAGGGTTTATGTAAAATATTGCTTTTGTTCATCTAAACCAAAAATGCACTTTGCAATATTTCTTTCAAAGTATTCATTTTAGTTGAATGCAACCAGTTAAATTGCTTATTTCTGAATGAAGTATTTATTTATTTATTTATTTATTTATTTAATAATTAACTAATTTTTACTCTCCCTAGAAGTAGGTGCTCAGCAAAGATCACTGTAAAGGCACAAAATAGAATGCTCAATGAAGCAACAAATAACCACATCTAAGGACTTGATAGACTTGGAACTAGTTAATCTCTGTTAATGAGTTGACTATATGAGAAAAATTGGCAGAACACCACAGAAGAATCTGCTGCAGAAAAAATAAATAAATAAAAAAATAAATAAATAAATATGTAAATGGGTTGTGGATCATTCTCAGCACTGCAGTAACACTGATGTGGTGGTGGTGTGTTAGTGTGTGTTGCGCTGGTCTGAGTGAGAATAGTCCACCAACCAAAAATATCCAGCCAACAGTGTCCTGTGGGCAGCGTCCTGTGACCACTGATGAAGGACTAGAGGATGACCAACACAAACTGTGCAGCAGCAGATGAGCTATCGTCTCTGACTTTACATCTACAAGGTGGACTGACAAGGTAGGAGTGTCTAATAGAGTGGACAGTGAATGTTTAAAAACTCCAGCAGCACTGCTGTGGCTGTGTCTGATCCACTCATACCAGCACAACACACACTAACACACCACCAGCATGTCAGTGTTACTGCTACAATGATCCACCACCCAAATTGTACCTGCTCTGTGAGGGTCCATGGGAGTCATGACCACTGAAGAACAGGGTAAAAGGGGGGCTAACAAAGTATGCAGAGAAACAGATGGACTACAGTCTGTAATTGTACAACTACAAAGTGCACCTATATAGTAAGTGGAGCTGAAACAAGGAGGTGGTCATAATGTTATGCCTAATTGGTGCAGGTCAGTTTAGCACCCTGACTCTTTTAATATGGAACAATGCTGTTGTAATACATGCAGAATGAGGTTTCACACTGTTTTGCTGAAATTCTGAAAAGCAAGTCCTTCCCTGAAAAAGACGCTGTCTGTATGGCAGCATATGTTGCCAGAACATGTGTATATCATTCAGCATTAATTCTGCCTTCACAGATGTGCACATCACCCATGCCAGGTGCACTAATGCACCCCTATACAATCATGAATACTGGCTTTTGAACTGTGCATTGATAACAACTTGAGTGGTCTATAGCCCAGAGGACACAGTGTCCATGATTTCCAAAAAACTTTCAAATTTTGATTCGTTGGACCACAGGACACTTTTCCACTTCCCCTCAGTCCATTTTAAATGAGTTCAGGCCCAGAGAAGGTGGCAGTGTTTTTGGATCCTGTTTATGTACAGTTTCTTCTTTGCGTTTTAGAATTTTAACTCAACGCATTTCTGGATGCAGCACTGTCTGTTTTCACAGACAGTGTTTTTCAGAAATGTTTCTGAGCCCATGCAGTGATTTCCACTACATAATTATATCTGTTTTTAATGCAGTGCCTCTGAGGACCCAAAGATCATGGCCAGCAAATACTGGTTTTCAACCTGGTCCCTTTCATACAGAGATTTCTCCAGATTCTCTGAATCTTTTAATGATATTATGTACTGTAGATGATGAAAAGCAAAAAATATTTGCTGTTTTATTTTGAGAAATGTTATTCTTGACTTGTTGCACTATTTGACCATGCAGTCTTTCAAAGAGTGGTGAACTCCACCCTATATTTACTTCTGAAAGACCTCTCTGGGATGCTCTTTTTATATGCACTCATGTTACTAACCAGACTTTTGTTGCCCCCATCCCAACTTTTTTGAAACATATTGTTGGCATCAAATTCAAAATGGGCAAATATTTTTCAATAAACAATAACATTTCTCAGTTTCAACATATTTTATTTTTTTACTATTTTCAATGAAATGTAGGATTTAAATGATTTGTATATAATTGCATTTTGTTGTCAATCTGCTATTTGGAGTCTCAGTTGCTTCTGAAGTGTACCAAATAAAGAAGCACAAATCCTGGCTGATCTGAGTTGAACCCTGAATTCATGAACTCATCGTCAGCTGCAATGATGATGATAAGGCTGCATGGGATCATGATGCCTTACTCTTACTGTCTTACTCTCTCTCTCTTATACAGACAATGTGAGGTTGGTGGATGGTGGCAATCGCTGTGCTGGGAGAGTGGAGGTTCATTACAATGAAGAGTGGGGAACAGTGTGTCATGATTACTGGGATATGACTGCAGCTGCAGTGGTATGTAGAGAGCTGCGCTGTGGAGAGGCTGTAGATGTACTGAGTAAAGCTCACTTTGGACCTGGATCAGGACCAATCTGGATGGATGATGTGTACTGTAGCGGATCAGAGTCTACACTGAAGAACTGTGTGTCAGCAGGATGGGGAAAACATAACTGTGATCATTCTAAGGATGCTGGAGTCATTTGTGCAGGTAATCTTTACTATAATGCCTTCACATAAATACATTAATACACTGTACACTAGTTAATATATTTTGTGCAGTACAGCTTTGTTTGCCAATTAACACTATTTTTACAGTCATTAACATTTTAAGTAATTTGAAAGGAAGGAATTAGAAAGTAATTAGAAAGGATGTTTATCCTAAAATACTCATTAAGAAATCAAATATTTATGAACATATTGTTGTCAATCATAAACATGTGTGATAATTCTCTCCTGATGATATATTAGGAGTCAAGCTGGTTGGTGGTTCACGCTGCTCTGGGAGAGTAGAGGTGCTTCATGGAGAGACCTGGTCCACAGTGTGTGATGCTGACTTTGACCAGCAGGATGCAGAGGTTGTGTGTCGAGAGCTGGGCTGCGGGCTTCCTGTGGAGGTGCTGGGAGCAGCTGCTTTTGGCAGGGGGGAGGGTCAGGTGTGGTCAGAGGAGCTTAAGTGTAACGGCAAAGAATCTCAGATTTCCCTCTGTCCAACATCACCTTCACTCAAACAAAACTGCTCTCATGACAGTGACGTGGGTCTGGTATGTGCTGGTAAGAACACATTTGTATTATCAACATCATATTTCTGTGAATAATTCACTGTAACAAAATAATTTGCACTAAAGTACAACATGTAACTGTCTGCTTTGCATTGTAAGAATTCTCAAACTATACAGACCCAACAGGTAAAGCTTTATTGTAAGTAAACAGGTAAAACTAGATTACAGTTTTTGATTAGGTGCTAATGCAATAATGCTTGTTGCACAGACAGTCACATACAGTTCTCCAAGCACCATTGTAACCCTTTATTTGCCCAGGACCCTTGTGTGGAGCCCAGTGTGCACCTGAAATTCTCTCTCTCTCTCTCTCTCTCTCTCTCTCTCTCTCTCTCTCTCTCTCTCTCTCTCTCTCTTTCGCTCGCTCTTCTGTACAGACAGTGTGAGGTTGGTGAATGGTGGCAGTCGCTGTGCTGGGAGAGTGGAGGTTCTTCATAGAGGAGAGTGGGGAACTGTGTGTGGTCGTGGCTGGGATATGACCGCTGCTGCAGTGGTGTGTAGAGAGCTGGGCTGTGGAGAGGCTGTAGAAGCACCACAATATGGTCCCTTTGGACCTGGATCAGGACCAATCTGGATGGATTATTTGCACTGTAGTGGATCAGAGTCCACACTGAAACACTGTAGTTCACTAGGGATGGGGTAAACATGAATGTAGGCATTATGATGATCCTGGCGTCATCTGCTCTGGTAAGCTAACAAGGATGACAATCTGTTTATATCATCATCATTACCATCATGATCATCATCATCACATAAGCTTTATTTTCATAAAGATTTTAGGTCTAATTATCTTTAATTATCTTAAATACCAGTGGCACTTAAATGCAGATAGGTGAGAGAAACTGTGGGAAAATGTAGGAAAAATATTAATAGTAACCCTCAAGTAGCCTGATTCTGAATGAATGAGTTAATTCTATACAAACCTAGCTAGTTTGCAGGTGAAAAGCGATGCACTAACAGTCCTATTAATGCTGTTCAGAATATACAATACCAATTGATGTAATTTAAATACACACAGGTCGCATGTCCAGACTTACTGATGGTCCTCATCGCTGCTCTGGGAGAGTGGAGGTCCTTTATGGAGAGACCTGGGCCTCAGTGTGTGATGCTGACTTTGACCAGCAGGATGCAGAGGTTGTGTGTCGAGAGCTGGGCTGTGGGCTTCCTGTGGAGGTGCTGGGAGGAGCTGCCTTTGGCAGAGGGGAGGGTCAGGTGTGGTCAGTGGAGCTTCAGTGTAAAGGCAACGAATCTCAGATTTATTTCTGTCGAAAAACATCTTCATTCAAACGTAGCTGCTCCCACGAGAGTGATGTAGGGCTCATGTGTGCTGGTAAATTATTAAACTTTCATTAAAGCATTACACTGCTTGTCCCATTATATGGGCAGTGAGTTGCTCTTATTCATGTTCTTTCCTCTAATGTGATGTTGATTCAGGTCACACTGAAGCTCGGCTGATAAATGGCTATGACCCCTGTTCTGGTCGAGTGGAGCTCCAGTACCTCAGTGAGTGGGGCACAGTGTGTGATGTAAGCTGGGATATAAGAGCAGCCAGTGTCCTCTGTGGTCAGCTGGAGTGTGGGAGTGCTGTGGCTATGTTGGGGTCAGACTGGTTTGGAGAGGGGAGTGGCCAGATCTGGGCTGATGTGTTTGATTGTCAGGGGAACGAAACACACCTGTCAAAATGTCCCATTTCATCATGGAGTCGAACTGCATGCTCTCATAAACAGGACATTGGAGTCATCTGCAGTGGTGAGCTCTCAGAATTGTGTACTGCATTTTAGAGAATTAAAACCATGTTAGAAAGTTGCTGTGTATGTCTATGGCAGCATCAATCAAAAAGAAAATGGTAAATAAAATTTAAAACCTTTAAAAATTAGATAATTGATTATTTAATCCCCAGTTTCCTCTTTGGCGTTTCATGAGGGGCGAGTGCGGTTGTCTGGAGGGATGGAGTGTGAGGGGGAGGTGGAGGTGTACTTCATGCAGGACTGGAGGAGAGTTCTGCTGGACTCCTGGAGTGAGACTGAGGCCTCTGTGGTCTGCAGACAACTGGGCTGTGGCTCTGTGTTCAGCTTCTCCAGCTCCTCTCCATCCAGTCCTGATCAGAGTCGCGTGTGTATGACAGGTTTCAATTGTTCTGGGAGTGAAGCTCATCTGGGGAACTGCAGCAGCGAACAAGCAGTCAACTGCAGCTCTAGAGAACAGCTCTCAATCACCTGCTCTGGTAATAGTAACACTCTTTAAATATTTTCAGAAATGAGCAATAGTTACACTACTTATTTAGTCCAGTTGCAAATATTCGATAGCTGTGCAACGTTCATGTCGTGGTAATGAGACAAATGGGTGGGTAATGTAAAGAATAAATGATTAAACATGTACATAATGTAAAATGACTTACTGTCTTATCCTGGTCTTGGTTCTCAGTTTGACTGTGATGGTGTGTGTGTGTGTGTGTGTGTGTGTGTGTGTGTGTGTGTGTGTGTAGGTAAGTTTAATCCAGCTCACAGCTCCATCAGGCTGGTTGGTTCTGGGGGAGACTGTGCAGGAAGGCTGGAGGTTTTCCACAGCGGCTCATGGGGGACAGTGTGTGATGACTTGTGGGATATTGAGGATGCGCAGGTGGTCTGTAGACAGCTGCAGTGTGGAGTGGCCCTCAGTGCTCTGGTACCAGCCCGGTTTGGACCTGGAACCGGACCCATATGGCTGAATGAGGTGGAGTGTGAGGGGAACGAGACGTCCCTGTGGAACTGCAGACACCATTTGTCTGGAGAGGATGAATGTGAACACAAGGAGGATGTAGGAGTCGTGTGTTCAGGTAAAGTGAGCTATTTGCTGCTGTTCTTGAAATTTTCAGCTTGTTGTACCTAATAATGCTTCAAGGTTTTAAGTAAGGATTGATAGTTATGTTAATGCTTATAGGTAATGTTTGGATATTTCTGGAAATTAAGTATTATAATACTTGCAGTTTGGGAAGAGAACCACATCTGTAGCTGATCCTCTCTCCTATCTACAGTAACAGTTTACAATAATTTTTCGGTAACAGTTTACATTAAGGGTCGCTAATCAATCATTAAATATATAATAATCAACTATTAGTTTCCCATTAATTACTTATTAGTTAACTCTTCATTAAGCATTAGCTATTACTTAGTAATTGATTAAGCACTTAGCAATTAGTAATTAAGTACACTGTTAGTTGATAAGTTAGTTTGTCGTTAGTTTGTGGCTTACTTACTCATTATCTGTGTGCTAATTGCTGCTTATTACTTTGTTAATTAACTAATAAGTATTTTTCTTCATATAAAGAAGTAACGTGATAACTTGCTAGCACTTATGTGTTAATCCCGCTAATTATCTGTTAATTAACTTTCCATCACTTCCATATATTCAGTTGCTTCACTTTTCTTACTTTGGTTCATTAAAGATGCTTATGGTCACATCTGACCGTAAGATGAGCGCACACAAATTCATGGACGGTTTTGTTATTCGTCACATTCATCTTGGCATATCTGTACTCATATCTGGTAGGAGTGCATGTAAATTTGGGCATAAATGCTGGACATGTGGCTAATTAACCAAAACTATTATCAACATAATCTGTAATTGTAAAAATAAGAACAACAATAGAAAATTTCAATAATACTAATTTGTGTGCATGACAGTCCAGTACAAAAGTGGATGTACTTACTTTACATGCACATTGATATAAACAAGTGCTGCAACTATTTCATGTTCCATTTAAAGACAAATTACACTGTGCTTTTGTTGTCATACACTGCAATAATACAGCGTTTATTTTAGGAAATTAATTACACTAAACAATCACTCTACTATGTTAACAGCACTGAGAGTATTTAGTTTTATTTCACATTTTATTTTTTTCCAGTTGTTTTCATTTTAATACTATTAAGTTTGGTCAGCTGGGAGGAGTGCACTCACTGCTGGACATCAAACTCCACCCATGAGCACGGCCATTAGCTTTCATGCCAAACACTGCCGTTTTATTGGCTGGCTACTGAAACATCTACATGAATTAGGGTGTGCTTCATGTAAATGATATGTAAATGAGGTGCTGGTAGGCTGGTTTCATGCACTGAAGCTGATTTATCATTTATGCTCAAATCTCCACTTGTTTCCACATCATACAAAATTGTTATGAATCAGATGCAGAGCAGTTCATACCTTATAAAAGGCAAGAAAAAGGTGTTCTTTTTTACGCGACTTTGATGATTAATGGGCCCTTTTCACAAGATTCGTGATTACTTCCGGTTTAAGCATTAGCAGGGTAAAACTCACTTCCTCTCCATATAGCTACTGCAGACGCGATGTCAAAATGTTTACTAGTGAACTGTAATGATCAAACACTGAGCTACAACAGCTGTATTTTAGTTTTCCTGCACGGTTGTGACAGTGAGAGTAAGAAGTGGACGGAAGCTCTGATTTAACTGTAAACAGAGCTGAGACGCTGTATGTTGTTTTTACTGCAGTTCAGCTGCTTCACATCAAACCGTCTCTGAGTCTTTGTACAACATGCCAGCGATTTCGGTAATATTCTGTTATCAAAAGAATGAAGAACTTTTATATGTAGCATGAATGTTATAGACTTTGTTTATATTAAGCTAGCTATACTGGCTAGAAGCTACTGCTAACCAAACTAGCCCGGCTAACATGAAGCAGCTTTTTCAGATGTTTTTTTTTCAGCTAGGAGTCGCGTTTTTGACTGAGCAGTGAAAGGTGGATGTTTTCTGAAGTGCTGCTTCAAAATTTGCCATGAAACTATAAGAATAATGCTGTTTGGCAGATCGCCAACATAGCCAGCGTTAGATCTAACTTAGCTTTAAAGTTTGATGCTCATACGTAGCTGGTGTTCCTCAAACTGCTAATGGTAGGCTAGCTAATTAGCGACTGTAGCCTGCTAGCCTACCGTAAGCTAATACAGTTTAAACAATGTCTATTAAATAGACTTTACATGTAAAAGTTTTTGTTTGTGTTTATGTCAGAAGTCACTGCCATCATGTAGCTAAATGTGTCACAGAACCTGCTCCACGTTAGCCGGCTGGTGTCAGCAGCTGATGAAAGCTAACTAGCTTCCTTATTTTGGGAATACAGCTACAGTTAGAAATGGCTTCTAGCGTTGCTAGCTAGCTGCAGCTAAACAACGTCTACCAAATTCATACTACACAGAAGAACTTTAATTTCTTTTGAAAACAAAAATATTACAGAAATCGCTGGCATGTTGTTCAACTACAGAGACACTGCTTGATGTGAGCAGCTGCAGCAGCAGTAAGCAGGGCTGCATAACATACACAGCATTTTAGCTGTGTTTACAGTTAAATCAGTGCTTCCATTCACTTCCTTTTGTCATGATAGTGCACAAAAACTAACATATGTCTGTTGTAGCTCAGTATTTGAGCATTATAGTTCACTGCTAATGCTTAATCCGGACGTAATCGCGACTCTTTGTGAAAAAGGCCCATGGCCATTAGATCTTTACATTTTGAGTGTTAATGGCCGTGCTCATGGGTGGAGTTTGATGTCCAGCAGTGAGTGCACTCCTCCCCTGCTGACCAAACTTAATAGTATTAAAATGAAAACAACTGGAAAAAATATAATGCGAAATAAAACAAAATGCTCAGTGTTGTTAACATAGTAGAGTGTTTGTTTAGTGTAATTAATTCCCTAAAATAAACGCTGTATTATTGCAGTGTATGACCGAAGCTGTGTTTGTGAGTCAGTAGTATGAAACAAAAGCACAGTGTAATGTGTCATTAAATGGAACATGAAATAGTTTCAGCACTTGTTTATATCAATGTGCATGTAAAGTAAGTACATCCACTTTTGTACTGGACTGTCATGCACACAAATTAGTATTATTGAAATTTTCTATTGTTGTTCTTATTTTTGCAATTACAGATTATGTTGATAATAGTTTTGGTTAATTAGCCACATATCCAGCATTTATGCCCAAATTTACATGCACTCCTACCAGATATGAGTACAGATATGCCAAGATGAATGTGATGAATAACAAAACCGTCCATGAATTTGTGTGCGCTCATCTTACGGTCAGATGTGACCATAAGCATCTTTAATGAACCAAAGTAAGAAAAGTGAAGCAACTGAATATATGGAGGTGATGGAAAGTTAATTAACAGATAATTAGCGGGATTAACACATAAGTGCTAGTAAGTTATCACGTTACTTCTTTATATGAAGAAAAATACTTATTAGTTAAATAACAATGTAATAAGCAGTAATTAGCACACAGATAATGAGTAAGTAAGCCACAAACTAATGACAAACTAACTTATGACCTAACAGTGTACTTAGTTACTAATTGCTAAGTGCTTAATCAATTACTAAGTAATAGCTAATGCTTAATGAAGAGTTAACTAATAACTAAATAATAGGAAGCTAATAGTTGATTATTATATATTTAATGATTGATCAGCGACCCTTAATGTAAAGTGTTACCAATTTTTCTAGTTAATAGGTAAATAATCAGGAACTAAGCAGGGATGAATAAGTAATGGTGTATTAACACTTAAGTAACTAATATTAACTACTAAGGAGTACTAGTTAATTACTAGGTAGACAATAGTGAACTAATAATTAGGGTTAACTACAGATTATCTGCTCATCGAGAATTTCTTAGTAACAGAATAATTACTTATTAATTACTGATCAATTCAAGATTAATTGCACAATAGCAGTCTTACAAGGTTCCTGGTGAACTACTAACTGATGTAGTGTATTCCAACACTTCTAAAAGTACTGAAATACGCTACACAGCGTGCAGTCTTTACAATATAAAGAATTGAATCCTCCATTATTATTCACAGAAACAGATTTTTTTTAGAGAAAGAGGAGGCATCACACCACACTGTTCAGAAGAAACAATAGTTGCACACATGCTCCTGCAGAAAAAAAAGTAGTGTTTTCTACAGTTTAAAGATGAGATGTAAGCAGACTGGTCGAATGACTACTGTAGTATTTTAGTAGTTGTCTCATTTGTAGGCTGGTATGCAAAATTGTTCATGCTGCCAAATATAAAGATGTGCATTTGCCTTTCAAGGTTGCTGATCAAAACAAGCACATGAGGGACACCAGTCAGTACAGTGTGGTGTGATGCCCCCAGCCTGCTCTGAGGATACCTGCTCTGTGAATTATAATGGAGAATTCTTTATATTGTAAAGACTGCACATTGTGTAGTGCACTTCAGTACTTTTAGAAGTGTTGGAATACACTACATTAATTAGTAGTTCAGCAAGAACCTTGAAAGACTGTTGAGCAATTAATCTTGAATTGATCTGTAATTAATGTGTAATTATTCACAACAATAGTTACTAAGTAATTAGTAATGAGACTCAGTAGATATTGTTTAGTTAATAGTGAACTACCCTAGTCATTACTTCACTAATTAACTTGCATTCCTTGGAAGTTAGTAGTAGTTACTTAAGTGTTAATGCAGCACTACTCATTCATCCCTTCTTACTTCCTGCTTAGTTGCCTATTAACTACGAACCTGTATTGTAAAGTGTTACTCTACCTACTCCTAGAGCTGGTGCATGCATTTTTGCTGCTCTAGGCGAGTTACAATTTTGCACCCCCTGTAAGTTACAAGTATCACAACCAATAAGCAACAACACACACAACACAATATCCTCCCATACACACTAATTAAATATTGTAGCAATAGTATGTTCACACTTTGAACAAGTAGGCTATAAAACCGACAATAAATGGCTAGTTGGAGTCCTGCACTTCACACACTTTACAAAATGCATACTGTTCATTAGCTTTGAGTTCTGTGAGGTGTTAGTACAGGATTGAAGTGTCTACAGGCCACATACCAGTGCACAAAGCACTGACTAGTTACTGGCTGTTCAGCACCCTAATGGCCTGGAGAAAGAAGCTGTCTTGGAACCAGCTGGTTTGGGACTTTGGGTGGATGAAGTCTCTTGTGATCCTCCTTGAATTAATCAAACAGAGGTCAGTGTATAACTTGATGAGGGAGGAAAGCTCAACCTTGGTGATATGATGGGCTGTCTTCAGTTTTGTGGTTGAGAGCAGTGCAGTCCCCTTACCTAGGAGGTGATGCAGCACTTTAGAATGCTCTCAAAAGTGCAGGTGTAAAATGACCTTATATTAAAGAGATTTATGCTGAACCACCCTCAGCCTTCTTAGGTAGAAGAGGAGCTGTTATGCCTTCTTCATCACACGTCCATGTGATGTCCTTCATGATGTGTGCACATTCTAGAAACCTAGAAACCAAGAAACCTGAAGTTGCTAATGCTCACTACAGTGTCCCCATCGATAATTATTAGAATGTGCACCCGCTCCTGCTTCCTGAAATCAAATATTAGTCCACTAAATAATAAAACATCTAAATAATGTTATTTATAAACAGTGTATGTATACTTAAAATTGAATGTTAAACTTAGTCAGCTTTCTCTCACCAGAGTTTAAAGAGTTCAGACTCACTGAGGGCTGTGAGGGGAATCTGGAAGCGTTCTACAATGGAACCTGGGGAAATGTGTGTTTAAATGGGATGGATGAAGAAACAATGAGTTTGATCTGTCAAGAGCTGAACTGTGGAAGATCTGGCCGTGAGACGGCTACCAAAGCAAGAGTGGAATCAGCTCCTAACTGGCTGGATGATCTGAAATGTCGGAAACATGACTCCACTCTGTGGCATTGTCCATCTTCACCCTGGAGAGAGAACAACTGTGATAATAGCAATGAGGTGGCTCACATTACCTGCTCAGGTAAGCAGCATGTAGTGATTCTGAATGTTGGCATTAATATAATATGTAATATGATGAATGTGAAATGAAAGTGGCTGAAATAGCTACAAAACATAATTCTCTGGAAAGTCAAATTTACTAAATAAGTTTTATGTGTAAAAGCTCAAGGTTAATAAATTATCTTACCATTTTCTCAGAAAATGAAAATCGTAATGTGTTACGAAGTCATCTGAAATGCTCCTCATCTCTCCATCAGGCCCATCAGAAACAATGCTCAAGTAAGCAAAATAGGGTTATTGTTTCAAATAGGTATTATTGGTTCAACCAATATATATTCTATTTGCACTAAAAACTCACATTGTGGTACACAGCTGTTTTATCATATAGTTTTTAATTAGCTTAGGAGCAATATCTCCTCATATGTGATATGTGTGGTGTAGATCACCTGCCTCTTAGATTGATGAGAGGAAATGGAAGCTGCTCTGGGAGGCTGGAGGTGTTTCATAACTCTAAGTGGGGCTCCGTCTGTGATGATCTTTGGGACATCAGGGATGCTCAGGTGGTCTGCAGGCAGCTGGGCTGTGGGCCGGCGCTGAGTGCTGATGGGAGTGCTGTCTTTGGTGCTGGTGAAGGGCCTATCTGGCTGAACAGAGTGAAGTGTAGAGGGAATGAGATTCACCTGTGGGACTGTCCTCATTCCCTGAAGAACGACACTGACTGCTCCCACAGTCAGGATGCTGGAGTCACCTGTGCAGGTCAGAGGAGTCTGCTGGACTTTGGGGTTTCTAAATCCAATTAAAATTCTTTTGGTCCATTGTTAATACTTTATAAAGTGACTTTAGTCAATTTTGTTAATGTTGGCCAATTTGATTTTTTTTCATAGTCAGTGATTATAGCAAGGAATACCGTATAACACCAAAAACTTTTTTGATAATTTTGTGCTTAATGTGTTTTGGTTTCACTGACTGTTTTGTTTTTGTATATACAGACCTTGTGCCTTCTACTACTACTACACCTCAAACAACAGCCAATACTTCACCCACCACCGGTACTTTTCAGTCTCTTAGGTCATTTTCCTAAATGTTCAGAAATGTTTTTCAATATTTTATACAATTTCTATTCTTTTTTTTTTTTTTTTTTTGCAGTTGATCGGCAAGTGAAGAGAACAGCCACTCCTCCACAAACTCTTCCAACTACTGTCTTGTCCATCTATCCAGTGTCTCTCCTGGTTCTGGGAGTGCTGCTCTTCCTGGTCTTAGTGCTTCTGGTTGTGCTGTTTTACCAGAACAGAGTGTTCAGGAGAGGTAGAGAGATTCAGAGATCATCTACAATCCACTTTCTGTACATTCTCTAAACATCATTAGTCCTTCAGTCTGTCATCAGTCTTCTCTTCTACTGAGCTGACTCCATTTTTTTCTTCCTCACAGTGCTCTCTAAGAGGAGGCGTAAGAGTCTGACTGAAGCAGTCTATGAGGAGATCGACCGCAGATACATCACTAAAAGAAATGACCTGACTCGCAGGGGTGAGTGATACATGGATTTATATTGTATTGAATTAGTTGAGGTAATAGTGGCGTGGTGGTGGAGTGGGTAGTGCTGTCACCTCACAGCAAAAAGGGCCTGGGTCTGACTCCCCGGCCGGGCGACCAGACTTTTCTGGGTGGACTATGTATGTTCTCCCCATGTCTGCGTGGGTTTCCTCCCACAGCCCAGTGGCATGCAGCCATGTGATTTGGAGATGTTAAATTACCCCTAGGTGTGAGTGAATATGTCTGTGTGTCTGCACTGTGATGGACTGGTGACCAGCCTTCCACCCAATGACTGCTGGGAATAGGCTTCTGCGACCCAGGAGGATAAGCAACATAGACTCTGTGTGTGTATTTGATGTAGCATAACATGCAATGCAATGCATGCTGGCTTGCCTAGAGATCAAAGCAATGTTTTCAAATTAACTATGATTTAAAATGTAAAAAGTTAATCCAAAATTTTGAATAATTTCTTCAGTATAGCATTCTCTGTGTACTACTAATAAGAGCAAATCAGTTATATGAGAGTTTAGTGTATATTAGATGAAACGTGCAGAGTAGATCTACATGTAGTGTAGTGTGTTCATTCTGCTGATAAGCATCTATTAGGCAGCTGAAGTTAAACTGTGTAATTGCTGTAAAACTGACAAACCACACAGCTGCAGGTGAGACGAGAGAATGAATGTGTATGGTTTAAAGGGAGAATTTGCATGTGTGTGTGTGGGAGACAGACAGACAGACAGACAGAGAGAGAGAGAGAGAGAGAGAGATAGAGAGAGAGTAAATGGAGCGTATGTGTGTGTATGTGTGTCTGTGTGTGTCTTTGACCAAGAGAGAGATCAAGGAAGTGAAAGACTAAGGGACTAAGTGAATGTGTTGTTGAGTGAGTGACCTAGTCACCAAGTGAGTTTGATCAAGGGACCAAGAGAGTGAGTGAATGACTGACTGACCTGCTGAGTTGATCACCAAGTGAATAAATGAGTAAGTGACTAAGTGAACAAGCGTGTGAGTGACCGATTGAGTGACAAATTGACCAAATGAATGACTGAGTCATTGACTGAGTGTGTGAGTGAGTGACTGATTGAGTGACAAAGTGTCTGAGTGAGTGACCAATTGAGTGACCAAATGACTGTGTGAGTGATCAAGTAAGTGACAGAGTGAGTGAGAGTTCATTTCCAAGTGAGGTGAGTGAAAGAGTGTTGAGTGCTGTGTATGAGAGCACTCTCTACTGTCTGCACTGATGTTATTTCCTGTAATCCACCCAGTTCACAATAATCCACAGCACTCAGAGGATTGTAGGTGGTTCTGCATTCTGAACGTGATTCATAACTGTTCTGCTCTCCTCTAACAGGAAGTATCCTCTCTGAAGAACAGCATTCAGGATATGAGAATGTGGATGAGGAGCTTCTCTCAGGTAAGAGGACCAGAGAGTGTTAAACTCCATTAAATTCACAAATATTAAAATCACCATTTATTAGTTACAGGCTTGATTATAAATATTATAAGCCGAGTTTATTTTATCTTTTATCTATTATTTAGAACACATCCATCCATCCATCCATCATCTAAACCGCTTATCCTTCTGGGTCGCGGTGGGGTGCTGGAGCCTATCCCAGCTGTCATTGGGCGGAAGGCAGGATTATTTAGAACACATTTAGGTCTAAAGTAAATCCTATATTTGAAGCATGGCATGGAGGATGGAGGTGTGTAATTAGTTACATTCACTCAATTACACGTACTCAAGTCATTTTTTTGAGTATTTTCAAACATTAGTGCAAAGTCATAGATAGGGACCTTCTATTTGATTCAATTTTTCAAAGTGACATTTCATAAAATCTCCTACACCAGTGGTTTACTTTTTACTGGCCCCCTCTTGCTCCTTTATGTAAACACACACAGACACAGACACATACAAACACACACACACGCACATAAATATATATATTGAAAATTTGAACCCTTTAGAATTGTCTATATTTCTGCATAAATTTGACCTAAAACTTCATAACAAGCCTCCAGCTCATTCCGGGGGACCCCAAGCTGCTCCCTGGCCAACTTGGAGATACAATCCCTCCAGCAGGTCCTAGGACGACCCCGGGATCTCATCCCAGTAGGCTGTGCCTGGTAAACCCCCTTGGGAGGAGTAGCAGCGCTACTCCGAGCTCTTCCCAGATGGCTGAGCTCCTCGCCCTATCAAACAGAGTGTAGCCCGCCACCCTGCGAAGAAAGCTCATTCCCACTGCTTGTATTCGCAATCTCATTTTTTCGGTCATTACCCACAGCTCATGACCATAGGTGAGTGTCATGATGTAGACTGACCAGTAAACAGAGCGCTTTGCCTTATGGCTCAGCTCCCTGTTCACCACTACAGTCCGGTACAGTGACTGCAATGCTGCTGCCGCTTGTCCCAGCCTGCAGCCAATCTCATGATCCCTGTTCACATCACTCATGAACAAGACCCTGAGACACTTAAACTCCTCCACCTGGGGAAGGTCCTTTCCCCTTACCTGGAGTGGGCATGCCATCCTTTTCCAGGCGAGGATCATGGACTCAGACTTGGAGGTGCTGATCTGCATACCAACGGCTTCACACTCAGCTGCAAAATACTCCAGTGAGCACTGGAGGCATCCATGCGATCCAGCCAAAAGGACAACATCATCTGCAAATAGCAGAGATGCCACCCTCCGGCCTCCACACATAATGCCCTCCTGACCTCAGCTATCCCTTGACAACCTGTCCCTGAATATTACAAACAGGAGTGGAGACAAGGCACAACCTTGGCGGAGTCCAACACAAATGCTGAATGAGCTTGACTTAATGCCGAGTATACAAACACAATTCTCACTCCAGGAGTACAGCGATTGGATGGCCCAGAGTAGTAGCCCCAGCATCCCATACTCCCAGATGACTTCCCCCAAGATATCTCGGGTAACACAGTCGTAAGCCTTGTCCAAGTCCACGAAACACATGTAGACTGGGCTGGCAAACTCCCATGCCCCTCAACAATCTGAGAGAGGGTGGTCCATTGTTCCACGGCCAGGACAAAATCCGCATTGTTCCTCCTCAATCTGAAGTCTGACTATTGGCTGGAGTCGCCTTTCCAGCACCTTGGCATAAACATTCCCAGGGAGGCTGAACAGTGTGATATCCCGGTAGTTGGCACACACCCTCCGGTCCCCTTTCTTAAAAATAGGGACCATCATCCTGCCAGTCCAACGGTACTGTTCCCGAGGTCCATGCGATATTGCAGAGGCGTGTCAGCCTGACAGCCCAACAACATCCAGAGCCTTTAGCATTTCCGGGTGAATCTCTTCCACCACCGGTGCCTTGCCACTGAGGAGCTTGCCAACTACCTCAGTGACTTCCACTAGGGAAATGGAGCCTGACCCGCTAGAAGCCTCTGGCCCTGACTTCTGTGAGGGAGGCATGTCTCTCGTATTAATGAGTTCCTCAAAGTGCTTCTTCCACTGACTGACAATATTCTCATTTAAAATCAGAGTTTCTCCACCCCTGCCAAATACAGCTTGGGCAAAGCCACCTTGACCACTCCTGAGTCGCCGGATAGTTGTCCAGAAACTCCTTGAAGCCGACCGAAAGTCTTTTTCCATGGCTTCGCCAAACTCCTCCCATGGCCAGATATTACATATTTGTGAGTGGCAAAAGTATGCAAATCTTTAGGATTAGCAGATCATTTGAAGGTGAAAATAAGATTTGGGTGTTTTCAATCAGTGGGATGGCAATCAGGTGTGAGTGACCATCCTGTTTTATTTAAAGAACAGGGATCTGTCACAGTCTGATCTTCACAACACGTTTGTGGAAGTGTATCATGACATGAACAAAGAAGATTTCCGAGGACCACAGAAGAATAGTTGTTGATGCTCATCAGGCTGGAAAAGGTTACAAAATAATCTCTAAAGAGTTTGGACTCCACCAGTCCACCGTCAGACAGATTATGTGCAAAAGGGAGGAAATTTAAGACCATTTTTACACTCCTCAGGAGTGGTCGACCAACAAAGATCACACCAAGAGCAAGGCGTGTAATAGTCCGCGATGTCACAAAAAAACCCAGGATAACTTCTAAGCAACTAAAGGCCTGTCTCATAATGGCTAATGTTAATGTTCATGAGTCCACCATCAAGAGAACACTGATGTGTGTGGCAGGGTTGCAAGGAGAAAGCCACTGCTCTCCAAAAAGAACACTGAAAACACAGAATTCCAGCCTAAAAACCTTATCCAGGTAAAGTTTTTGAATGGAGCAGTTCATGGGAGGAAAATGACCTATGTAAAAGAGTTGAAGCTGTTTTGTATGGAGGAATGGGCTGAAATTTCACAGTGCAGGACTAATCAACAGTTACCAGAAACTTTTAGTTGCAGTTATTGCTACACAAGGGGGGGCAGACCAGATACTCAAAGAAAAGGTTCACATTTTTTTTCTACTCACAGATATGTGATATTGGATCATTGTCCTCAATAAATAAACAAACTAAATAACCAAGTCTATGTGATGATAAGCATACACAATTGAGTCATTACTGTACCTTTGAGGCTATATTTTGCTGTTGTCAGAAGAAAACCTTATATTTTTGACATCTTTCAATTTTTGACATAATTTGAAAATGCCTGTTATCCTTTACATTGTATGTAAATTTTATGGTGAATAGACTAAAAGAAATGACCTAAAATGACTTGGTCTCATTCCATCCTTCTCCTGTAAAGTTAGAGTCTCATTCCATCCTTCTCCTGTAAAGTTACCATTATGGAGGTACCAGGTTTTCTTCCGACAACAGTGATTTACTTACTTAAACATTATCTTTTTTCTGAAGTTGTACAATAGATATTTTTGTTAATGTTTTCATTGAAAATAATAATAAAGTCAAGGAACTGTGATGGAAACTCGGGTGTAAGATCATCCTTGTGAATAACGGCTATTGCATCGGCAGATTCATTTAGCACATCACAATTGATCCACCTTACTTAAGTCCCAAGCAGTGTCCATAATTACCGAGTAAAACTTTGCTTCTTTTATTTAATTCTGAAATGCTCTCGGACCAGAGACTGTGAGCTCAGTTAAGTCTCTGACCAAGCTTTTGCTCCTGAAGCACTCCTTAATTCTGTCTAGTGTGAGGGATGTGGCTCCTGCTCTTATGCTATTTTTTAACCATACCTGTCACTGTGGCAAGTGCAGAAAGGTCTTTTTTAAAACTGAAAATCATGAAAAACTACCTCAGAAGTACAATGTTCCAAGACAGGCTACACCATTGTCTCTAATACAGTCCTTAATGATGAAAGAGAAAAATACCAAACTTTTACGGTACAGTATTCCACACCGGATCTCTCTGCTCGCCCGTGGTGGGCATTTTGTCATGAAAATTTTCGACAAACTTAATACCATTAATTCGTCACTTCAGGGCCCAAATTCTAATTTGCCAACGTTGTCTGACAAAATCGAAGGGTTCGTGAGAAAACTGGAACAATGGAGAGGCTAGATTGAGTGTGGAAATGTGGACAAAGCAGACACACAGAAGGGGGCGCATGTCCAAAAAGGTTGAAAACCCCTGCTCTAGTCAACAGAGAGGAACGCAAGTGAAAGGCACATTTTTAAAATAGTGGGCTCCTAAGCACAATCATCTACACTTGAAACAATGCTATCTTATATCTAGCCAATATTTCTAATATTTCCCATTTTGAGATTGTTGTAAGAATATTATAAGATTGTGTAACTTACTTCTAGACATTCTTACTGGAGTAACTTTATTAATTGAAATTGGGTCACTTTCAATTAATAAAATTACTTTATTAAGTAACTTTAGTAATAGAAATATATTGTTTATTTCTTTTTTATTATTTGTTTTAAGAAATAATGCTTAAAACAAGCAAACGTCTGTCAACATAGTGAGGTGAATTGGTAAAGTAAAGTGAAGGAACTAAGCAGGGCCACTGGAACCACAGGGGCAAGCGGGCATTTGACCCACCACTTTTTAAAGTACTGGGGGACGACCCAGTACTTTCTGACTGAGTTCAGGATGCTTACATAAAAAATAACAACCCCTCTTTCCCTGCATGGAGCACTGTCTGACATGAACAGACAGAGAATAAAATTCAGCTGCAAAATCAATTAGAATCTCCATTTAGCGGCAGAACCAATCAGAATCCCCATTCCAGTTGTAGAACCAATCAGAATCTTAATTTAGCTGCAGAACCAATCAGAACCAATCAGAATCCCCATTTCAGCAGTGTATATATATATATATATATATATATATATATATATATGAGCAATAATAGTAATTCAACCAATGTTACTAATGTACCACAAACATACATCGGTTTGATCAGTTTGATATCATTGATCCCTAAGAAAAGAGGGGGTTCCCCTAGGATCAGGGATCATTCAGCTGAACAATGATAATTCACACGCACACCATGTGTTTACAAATAACTAGCTTGATTATTATTTAGTATAAATGAACAAGATAAATGGAGTTTATTGTCTAATCAACAGGTTGGCATGAGTTATTTAGAGTCCCTGATAAGAATTGAGAGAGATAGCAGGTTGTTAAATGGTGCAAATTTGCTGACATTAAATCACACAGAAGGAGGCTAGGAGGGCGACCTGGGCATCAGATCTGAGTGTACGAAGGAGTTTTAGCCTTACCACGCTGGCAGGTGGTAGGTTGGCCTCGTTCCACCTAGGCAGGGTGTGGGTCTGGTCGCTTGGTCCAGCAGGTAACTTTCTGTTGGCTTGTGCGCACAAGGCTGGGCGGTTAGACCCGGCCTGGAGCTCTGTCATCAACAAGGCACAGCTTCCCCAGCTGGAGATGGACAAAGCACATAGCAGACCAACCGGGTGGGCTGGTTGCAGAGGGATGCTGGTTTCACTCAAGCCGCATCACTTAGGCAAACCATTCCAAAACTCTGGGCTCTAGGATCAACTCTGCTACACCTTTTTTAAGTTTTACAGCCAACACTTGGGCGTCAAAACTCACCATTGGCCACCAGTAGGTTTGTAGATCCTAACAAAGGTGTTGAGCGAATTTGCAATTCACTTTTCATGCCATTTTGTTACTGCTGTTCTCCGTTCTCTGGGGGCTTTTTGTTTCTCCAGCTGAAACTGCACAAGTCTCTGTTAGACGGGGTCCAAGCCACGCCTCCTGGTCGGGGATTGGGTACGGGGCTAATGTATCACGTTCCAGGCTATTGGATGGAACAGATTTTTGAGGAACAGAAATACCTCCTTTTATAACAGACAGTGAAGGGTTATATCGTGAAAACAACCATGTAGTTTCAAAACTATGCTATACCATTAAACAGTCACAACTGACACATTCTTGTTTCCTACAACAATGACAAATTACTTATAAGATTCATAACTAGGGAACACTTCAAGAGTTCATATGACTAATTATTTTTGGGTGGTCAGAAACACAAGAGTTCCATAATGTTGGAAAATATATTCCTTAAAGTTCTGTAAAATGAAGTCACTGAAAAGTCGGCTCAGTGAGAAGCATGTCTGTGGTGTGATAGATAAGGCGGAGAGAGAAGGTTTGGGAGATACGCAGCTGTGTCCTTTGAGAGTCATGAAGGTTATTTAGTGTCTTCGTTCTGTCATGAGGGAACCAGAGTAAACCTTTTTAGTAAACAAATGTCCATTACCTCTTAGTTCCGGAGTGGTTATCATCCTTGGACTTTACTAAACCAGAGCTGGCTTTTAAGAAAAAAACAGACTACAGCCACAACAGTGCTTAACAAATCATGATTTCATGTCATCAGCACAGGCATTTAGACATAACATTTAGATCATTGTAAATAAGTAAGTTAGTAAGTAAGAAAGTAAGTAAGTAAACAAATACACTATTCATTCCATATAATCACAGGAATACACTATTAATACATTATCACTCAGACATTCTGGATACATTCTAAACTGCTATAATAAACATACTTAATATTTTGGTTAATTTTACATCATACATGTTGGTTTTTAAGGGTGGTTTCATAAGTAAGTCTAATTTGTTTCTTCAATTAAAGATTTGATTTATCTCTAGTTCTGAAGCGTCTGTCAAAAGTAATTTCCTGTAGAATTTTAACAGTGTCTTATCCTGTAATTCACAGGCTCTATCAAATTAATATTTCATTTTAATTAAATTTAATCAAAAGTGATGAATTTCACTCTTTTTGCAGCAAAGTCTATGACTGGAGTACAGGCTGAATATTACGATGATGTTGTTACCACCAGTGGCCTGATAAGTGAGTTCTTTTATTAATTAATCACCTGATTGATTTTATCTTTACATTAAACCACAATGTAAAAACATGCAGTTTGTAAAGTCAGTCTGTTTTTATTTGATTTAGGTGAATCAGCAAAAGAGGACACAGAAGAGAACTATGATGATGTCATCACTGCTGGACAGATCTCTGATAGTGTAGCAGGTGTGTTTCTGTTTTTCGGTTTCAGTTTAGAAGGAAATACAATTAAATTAAATTACAATAATTAATTAATTACTTTTGTTCGGAAACAGCTTGTTTTGAATTCACTGGTTTTGTAATGTCATGAAAAACAATAATTTGTGTATAGCCTATTCAGCCTACAGCACATTAGCTCCACCCACCCATGCTGAAGTGTTAAGGAGCCTTTCAACCCAGACAGCTTTGTAAATGATGCAGGATAGCTAATCAGAAAGAAGGCTGGTTTACACATATCAGTCTTAAAGGCACGGTAACAAAAACAGCCTGTTTAATTGTAGAGGACAAAGAGAGGTTAGAAAATAGATCATGAAATAATTAATCATGACAAACATTATAAGTGGACCTTGAGGAAAAAGAATATGGACTTTTAAATATTTCTGTTTTGGTGTAGAGGAAGCAGAGACATATGATGATGTCATCACTGCTGATCAGAGCTCAGCTGTTGTAACAGGTTTGACTCGTAATGTAACAATACTGTAATCTCAAACATGAACACAGTCACTGATGATACTGATGCTGATTTAATGACAATTATCTCTACATTTTGACAGAAGACATGAAAGATAACTATGATGATGCTGTTATCGCTGGACCAAACTCCAACATTATGACAGGTATGTTTTTGGACAAATAATTTCATATAATTTATATTATCTTATATTATACATATAATGTATATAAAGTAATTATGTAATACATAAGTTTAACACAGTAAAATCAGTAAAATTAGTAGGTTTGTTTCTTAATGTTATCATTCATCATGTTTGTGGACACAGCAGAGAACTATGATGATGTCAGCACTGCTAAACAGGATGTAAGCGGCGTAAAGGGTGAGTGGTTAATCTTGTGTACACTGCTACATTCCAAATGTAAATGTATGTGTAAGTATTTTAAATTAAGTGCACAGGAAGCAGGAATGCAGCCATATTTGTTTTATATATATATATATATATATATATATATATATATATATGTATATATACCTTTTGGGAATGAAATTTTTCAATTCTTCAGCAGAGTTGGAAGGGTTACCTGTAACACTACAAATGAATAGTGCACTTCTATTATTGCAATACTGGAAGTTACTTGTCTCTAAATCTATCCTTATTCATAAAATGATAGCTAATGATGAGTCCATACACATGCTTAAAACAGTCAGTTATTATAAACAGTAATATATTTTATTCAAATATATTATTCTAGATCCATCTTCTTCTTTCAAACTAGGTTAGTTTTGTACTTGTGAGCACACAATGTACAAAAAATATCCTGTGAATGATTTTGTAATGTCAAATAAATGACGAATTTCACTTTCCTTAGTGTAAACTAGGATGATTTTAATCTTTGTTAAAGCTTACATCAGCTTTTTCCTCACCATTCACAAGGCTGATGTCACTTGTTCCACTCACACAGCTTTAATATAAAACTCTAGTCATATAAACATCTTTAACAATTTACACTGTGTTCCCTGGGACTTTAGTGAAGGACTTGAACTGTGAGTAAACCTGTAATATTAAACATAACCTACAACCCCAAATCCCAAAAAGTTGGGACGCTGTGTAAAATGTGAATAAATGTAAATGAAAACAGAATGCAATGATTTGCGAATCTCATAGCCCCATATTTTATTCACAGTAGAACACAGAACACATATCAGATGTTGAAAGTGAGACATTTTACCATTAATATTAACTCATTTAGAACTTGATGGCAGCAACGCTGCCAAGTTGGGACAGGGGCAACAAAAGGCTGGACAAGTAAGTAGTACTAATAAAAAACAGCTGGAGGAGTAATTTGCAATTAACTCACGTGACTGGGTATAAAAAGAGTATTTTAGAGAGGCAAAGTGTCTCAGAAGCAAAGATGGGCAGAGGTTCACCAATCGAAAAAACTTCATCAAAAAATTTTGGAAGAATTTCAGAAAAATGTTTCTCAGCATAAAATTGCAAAGACTTAATATAAACAGTACATACTATCATCAAAAGATTCAGAGAATCTGGAGAAATCCCTGTACGCAAGGGACAAGGCCGACGGTCAATATTGGATGCTCATGATCTTCAGGCCGCAGGCGGCACTACATTAAAAATAGGCATTATTCAATACTGGAAATCACTGCATGGGCTCAGGAACAGTTCCAGAAATCACTGTCTGTGAACACAGTTCACCATGCAATCCAAAGTGCAAGTTAAAGCTGTATCATGCAAAGAAGAAGCCATATGTCAACACGATCCAAAAACAACGCCATCTTCTCTGGGCCAAAGCTCATTTAAAATGGACTGAGGCAAATGGAAAACTATTCTGTGGTCAGATGAATGAAAATTTGAAATTCTTTTTGGAAACCATGGACGCCATGTTCTGCAGACTCAAGAGGACAGGGACCATCCAGCTTGTTATCAGCGCACAGTTCAAAAGCCTGCATCTCTGATGGTATGGGGTTGCATTAGTGCCTATGGCGTGGGCAGCTTACACATCTGGAAAGGCACTATCAATGCTGAACAGTATATCGAGGTTTTAGAACAACATATGCTCCCATTCAGACAACGTCTCTTTCAGGGAAGGTCTTGCATATTTCAGCAAGACAATGCTAAACCACTTACTGCATCCATCACAACAGCACGGGAGAAGAGTCTGAGTGCTGACCTGGCCTGCCTGCAGTCCAGATCTTTCACCAACAGAAAACATTTGGCACATCCTGAAATGAAAACTCAGGAAGACCCAGGACTGTTGTACAGCTAGAACATTGCTCTCCCAAAACTCAAACAATTGTTCTCCTCACTTCCCAGACATTTACAGACTGTTGATAAAAGAAGAGGGGATGCTACACAATGGTAGACACGGCCCTGTCCAAACTTTTTTGAGATGTGTTGCTGCCATCAAGTTCTAAATGAGTTAATGTTTTTCATGAAATGGTAAAATGTTTCACTTTCAACATCTGATATGTGTTTTATGTTCTATTGTGAATAAAATATGGGTCTATGAGATTTGAAAATCATTGCATTCTGTTTTAATTTACATTTATTTACATTTTACACAGCGTCCCAACTTTTTGGGAATTGGGGCTGTACATAGTGCTTTAGAATAGCACTATGGTTCCCCAGGATTTTGATCCAACTACCTGGATTATCAGCAGCAGCTGGAGTATACACAGTAGGAAGAAAATCCAAGGGAGGATTTTCACTAGCACAACTCTTTTGTATGTATGTGTGTATGTATGTGTGTATGTGTGTATGTATTTATTTAAAAAAAAATACTCATTTTACAGGTTATGATGTGGAGGAGGAGCCTCAGACAGAGATGGATCATGTGACTGAGAGTGCACAACCAGTGTCTTTCTTCAGGAAACTACATTCAAACCTCTTCAGACGCAAGAAATGATTTTATTACAGATCACAATTCATATTTTAAAAAGTATAAACATTGTTTATTCTATCTTACCCCCCAGATTTACCAAGCCCAGTGTCACAAAATGCATGGCTTTCATTGAAATCTTCCAGCCTTAGTGAGCTATACTGTCAATACAGATGTGAAGCAACATGTAGTGTGTTATTTATTGAACACATCTGTGTGTGCAGGAAAGAAGAACACATCTCAGGTTATTTTTATGCTATCAGTGTTCTCATATTCAACACAGGCAGTTACAGTTTCTGTCAGTGATGTGCTGTGTTCCTGTGTCCTGACTCGAAATGTGTGTAAATACTGCAAAAAAGTATTTTGCTAATTAGCATATTAAGTCTTATTAGGGAGCTGTTTGGAGAAATAATCCATGTATTATCAAAAATGTTTAATTACAGTTTCAGTGTGTGAATGATTTGGGCTAAAAGCGTTAAATTAAAGGGCTGTTGATGTTCATTGTATATTATTTAAGAGGGTAAAGCTACAAAAGCTGTACAGGCAAGAAGTAAAATTTTAAATGTGAGTAATCTAAGTGCTGTTTTACTGTAGTACATTTCTATGAGTGATTCATTTATCCACCGCTGTCTGAGACAGTTGTACTGTTGTCACCCAAAAATTGGCCAGACCATTATAAATGTTTACAAATGAACAGATAACAGATTAACAGATTAATCATTTAGTATTGTGTTACAGAGTAAAAAGTCTTCATTTTTTCTTTTGTGTTATTTGCAAGACTGTAAATATTGTTTGATTATTAATGTGAGATCATATCCACACAGCCTTAATCACAACAATGAGTTAAATTCTATATATTGAGTTTTTTGTAATGCACTGAATCTCCTGCCGGGGACTGAAAGATAATTCTGAACTGTCCTATCCTCTCTATATCTTGACCAGTGGTACACCTGTGGACACCTGATAACTGTTTATCTGTGACTCTGACTCTGTGTGTCTCAGAAATTGTGTGTTAGTCTGTGTAGAAAATAGAAGAGATTTTAGCTCATTTGCTGTTTGGGTCAGAACTGAAAATACATTATAGACGTCATGATACATTTTATATCTGATGAAGTGTCATTATACTGAGGCAAAGATAAGTAGAAAGATGGTCTTTCTGAGGATAAAGATGGCGTTTGAAGGAGAGGACATGCTGCAGACGACTGGCAGAATGTTTAGACAAAGTGTGACTTCACTGAAACTCTGTATTCATTGTGACAGACAGTGGAGGATCAGTACCAGCACAGAAAAGAGAGAGGACAGAACTCTCAGACCAAAAGACCAGTTATTTTTGGATGTGTTCATTTCTTTTTACCATTTTGCTATTTTTCTTTTTTTTTTCCTTCATTTCATTATAATGATTTTATTGTGAATCTTCATTCACTGCATGCATTATTCATCTGTTCTTGTCCTTATTCTTTAAGTTAATACAATGAATGCAGTTTGACATCATTGCACTCGTTTTATTTATAGAATGCTCAGGTAGAATGATTATTAGAGAATAAAATATGCAGATCTTTTAAATACCCCTTTCTTTCTTCTCCACTCTTTCCATCACTCATTCCTCTGATGCAACATTTGAAACTTCATTATTATCATAGTGTTCTAATGCTTTTTACATTTGTTAAAAGAACTGAGCAGTATTACACACATTAAAAGGTTAATATGATTCTAGGAAAACTCCTAACTTTTACAGAACCTTTCAATTGTGTGGAGGTTCTTTGAAACAGCTTTTCATACTAACACATCTCAGATACAAAAACAGACGATCTCTCAGGAATCAAAAGTGCTTCATTTATGGAGCACATTTATTTTTAAAAATGTACATTTCACAGAGATCTGTAAACAGAACATGCAGACTGAGTAAATCTAAATCTGCTTTTTTAGAGGTGATGAAACATGATGGAGTATTACTGATTCTCTTGTCTTGACAAATTGTTTTGCATCTTCTCTGCTTTTTAAAGTTACTTCAGACCATGTTGAACAGGAGTAAACTCAGACTCCAGACTGAGGCAGAACAACCCTGATACTTAATATCCACTCAGGACAATAATCCACATTATTATCAGTGACAGCAGTTATAATTATTCCGTTTGATTGTATTTACAGTTTTTCTTGACTGTTTACACACATTTCAGGACACGGTGCCAATGCTCCCAAATGCTCACATTCATATTCTCAAAACACTAAACACACACATTTAGCAGATCCTCCCATATTGAGACCGCTGATCTCAGTCTTTTCTCTTCCGTTCGCTATCTGGTGTTTACCTACCCTAATAGCGAGAGGATAGTGAACCACTGGCGGTCCACTTGCATTTTGCTCAGCCTTTTCTGGGCAGTCCACAGGTGATTAAGCAGAGTATTAGACAAAATTCCACTTACCATCACTCATTTATCCTCACAGTCCGATTTACTGATTTTTCCTCCCGCCTTTCTTTAGTTATACTGTGTAAATTACTTTAGTAAATCATTTTAATCTAGCTCAGTGTCAGCAACAACATTTTCCATAAAATCATTTTATTTCAGGCCTAGTCATGATTTTTTTCCCCTCATTTGTTTGTAATATTTGTCTGTAGTTTATTTCCCAAATAAAAGTCTGTGTGCGTTTATAATCTGTTTGAGGAGATTAAAAACTAGTTAAAACTTGTATGCATAACAGTTAACTGGGTGGTCTGAGGGTGGACCAGCAGTGGCAAACAGTCAGTAGGGTGCCGACCTTATCAATCCAGCGGACCGATATATGCTCGCTCTCTGGGTAGTTGTCAATCAAATCAAATGACTTGCCACCTTAAGAAGCGCGTTCTCTCTGTTTTAGGAGCGAGACGCAGCGCAGCAAACAGGTCTGTCAGTTGGTCTTTAAATTATCGATGTTCGTCTTAAATATTTTTCTTTGCCTTTTCATTAGCTACAACTAGATTGTCGTTGCTACGGTGACCAGCAGTCTGCGTGCTGTAGTTCTAAAACAGTTTTAATGCATTAGGGGTGCAACGATTATTCGACTTAGTCCACTAAAATCGACGACCAAATTAGTTGTCAACTACTTTAGTAGTCGATTAGTTGGTGACGTCATTACGCGTCTTTCTCGCTCACTAGAAACGTTTTGACATTACGGCTTACTGGAGACTTAACAACAGCGCGATGGCAGCCTGAAGAACAAAATCGTCGAAAGTGTGGAGCATTTCACGCTAAACTCCGAAAAAAGCAGTCAGTTGTGCTGTTTGAAAAGCTGACCTTAGCTGGAATGGGAGCCCATCCTCCATGTTGGAGCATCTGAAGAGGAAACTTGTCGGCGCAGTGGGTGAAGAAGATACAGCTCGGTAAACGCTGCGTCCCAAACCGCATACTAGCTCACTAGATAGTGTGTAAAAATAGCGCATATACCATTAGAAGTGCACTCATTAGTGTAGTGTGTGAAGTGCAGAAGTGTGTGGCTTGGGACGCGGAGATAGTTGTGCTAGCGAGCTCGTTAGCCAATATTAATTCCGTCCTATTTCATGTTGTGAGCCGAGCTGTAACGTTTTCTGTTTGAAATTCGGTTCTCTAAAATCGTTAACGGAGTTGGAACAGAGAAGCAAGTAACTGTTATTCACAGCGACCCTGTTCACTTTCCAGATAACGTTTACACTTTTAAACACTGCGTCGTTGTCTTAACGTCGAGGCACATCTTCTCTGCAGAGAGGAATATCCGCTCTCAGAGCACAGCGAGACTCTCTCAGGAGTACGGAGATGCTGTCCTTCCTCCGTTTCAGTAAAGACTGTGATTGTAAAATTTACAACAAAGTGTAGACAGACAGCAGAATGCACAGAGCACAGACTGCACTGTTTAAAGTCAACATTGAAATTTAGATTTAGTTTTTTATTTACTTGATTGAATGAAAAACCGATTGTTTTGTTATATTTTATTGCTGCTACTTTGCACATCCTTGGTTATAAATTGTGACAGGAAAAATACATTGGAGGTTTATTTATTTATCTTTTGTATCAGCAGGAAAGTTCTTTAAAACAGTGAATTCTTGAATGTTATTCATCTTTGTCTTCATTGTTAGTTAGCAAATGCATAAAACAACTTCAAGCTAAATTTAAAAGCTAATAGCTACATAAAAATGATTTGGAAATCCGAATAATCGATTATTCGTTTCAGTAATCGATAGATTATTCGACTACGAAATTAGTCGTTTGTTGCAGCCCTACAATACATCGTCTCAGACGCAGGAGTTAATCAGAAAACTTGTAGAGTGTATGAAGGTTTTCTCACTCACGTACTTTTGAGGGCTTTTTCAGAATTTTGTCGCGTGCACACAGAGATCTGCAAGAGGCCCCGGTTTTCTTTAGCTTTTTTGGAGTGTTTTACAAAGAAATCTCAGACAGTGAACACAGAGAACAGAGCACTTTCAGCCCTGTGGCTTTTCACCAACGATCACTCCCTCCATTACAGTTTGAGTTTAACTGCATCTCTCTTGCTGCTACATAGACAATAGACATTTATAAAGAGGTTTATCACCAGACAGTTATGTTTAATAATTCCAAAGGCTGTTTAGGCCTTTAGATTTCAGGTCCATTTCATTATTGACACTAATAAGGTAATTTAGTTAAGATAATTTAGGGTTTTAAGGTAAGCACAATTATTTTGGTATTGTTAGGTATTTTAACTGGATGCTGATTTTTTATTTTATTGAAGATGAAATTAAAGTGGCAAAATATTTCTGAATGTTAAATGTATTTTTTATTATTATTTTACTTTATTATTTTTTTTAGTGTTATTTTATATCTGAAAATGCACTTCACAGCTTTAAACTCAAGTTTACTACATTGTCTATTTATTAATCCTCTGCTGCCACCTTGTGGAGAATAAACTGTATTACAGTGAAGAATGTGTGGAAAGCATTTAAACTAAATGGCTGGGATACAGGGGCATTGAACTGTGATGAAAAATGTATTATTTTTATAAATCTGTAGAGTATTGTGTGATTTTGATCAATTTTTATGATGTGCTTTTTTTATTCTTTTGTTTCAAAATAATTAAAAGGCAGCCTGTTCTTTAGTTCTTTAATTTTTTTTGTTGTACTGAGTGATAAAGTGGGCCTAGTATTCCTGTGAATCTGTATTTAGAGTAGTGTGTGCTTGTGTGTGCATATGTTTGCGTGTGTCAATAATTTATCAGTCTGTATGTGTGTGTGCGTGTGTGTTTGTTCAAGAGAGAGTGTGTGTGAGTAGATTATGAGTTTGTGTTTGTATGTTTGTGTGTGAGTAGTGTATCAGTGTGATTGATGTTTATCAGTGTGTGGATCAGCTCTCTGCAGGTGCAGCATTAATGCTGTATTACACTGGAGTGTTTCCTCTCTCTGAAGTCAGTCTCCTGTATGTTGGTGTGTTTCTCACCACACTGCTGCGAGCGTCTCTCCTCACACACACACCTCTAGAGACGGAGGTGGAGTTCTGTTCATCAGTGCTGACACTCTTTTGATAAATATGGAGAAAGAAAAAATAGCCTCCTCTGATTTGTCACTGAAAATGTTTGATGATTTCCTCTTCTCTTTCTAGTAAGGTCATAGTGAGTGTGATTGGCGGCTGTGGGGAGCTCTCTCTCTCTCTCTCTCTCTCTCTCTCTCTCTCTCTCTCTCTCTCTCTCTCTCTCTCTGTCTCTCTGTCTCTCTCTCAGTTTCTTCCGTCTGTCTGGGGGAGTGGAGGTGAAGCTTGTTCTGCTGCTGAGTTGAACAGACTGTGTGCAGGTCAGCGGGAGATGGACAGCTGCGTGGCTCTCATTCTTCTGTCCACCACAATCACACTCACCACAGCTGGTAAGTACACTTTCAGTATCAAACAATAATTACAATTTTAACTGTGCTGCTTTCTCTCTGTCTGTCTGTCGCTCTTCTTCAGTCTCTCTGTTTCTTAATTTAGGTGCTGTCACATTGATAAATGTTATTTTAAGTTTTATCTTATGTTATTACAGTGTAAATTATCCATACATCTATTTCTTTTGCTTGAATATAGCATTTTTTTTTTTAAATGTGTGGAAGTATTATGAACAATGTGTCAGTATAAATGATCCAAAACCACTTGCAATAAAACCTTTCTCCATTCATTTAAAATATTATATATATGTTGTTTTTTGTTTCTTTTTTTTTTTAAGTTGTACAGTTTTTGACATTATTTGAAAATACCTACAGTCATTTATATTGGGTGTACATTTCAAGATAAATGGACAAAGGACCAGGTCCAGGTCCAGAATTACTTGGAAAAATGTCTGGTTCCATTGACTTACGTCAAAAGTAAAGTCTTTTTTTTCCTTCACCTGTAAAGTCACCATTTTGGAGATATGAGGTTTTCGTCCGACAGCAACAATATGTATATATAAAACATATGCGGCTTTTTTGACTAAACTCTCTCTCTCTCTCTCTCTCTCTCTCTCTCTCTCTCTCTTTCTTTCTTTGTTGTACAGACAGTGTGAGGTTGGTGGATGGAGGTATTCGCTGTGCTGGGAGAGTGGAGATTCATTATAACGGAACGTGGGGAACAGTGTGTGATGATGGCTGGGATATGAGAGATGCTGCAGTGGTGTGTAGAGAGCTGGGCTGTGGAGAGGCTGTAAATGCACTGATACGTGCTCACTTTGGATCAGGATCAGGACCCATCTTGAAGGATGATGTTGACTGTAGTGGATCAGAGTCTACATTAATTAACTGTACATCGACTGAATGGGGTGACCATAACTGTGATCATTCTGAAGATGCTGGAGTCACCTGCTCAGGAAATCTTCTATTTGATGACATTGGTATTAACTCCTATATTACTTAAATGAATTTGACAGCTTTTGCAGCTCTACTGTGGATGAATTTAACAGCTTTTAACAACATTTGTGTATCCTGACCTTGTTGTACAGACAGTGTGAGGTTGGTGGATGGTGGAAGTCGCTGTGCTGGGAGAGTGGAGGTTCTTCATAGTGGAACATGGGGAACAGTGTGTAGCGATTACTGGGATATGAGAGATGCTGCAGTGGTGTGTAGAGAGCTGCGCTGTGGAGAGGCTGTAGATGCACTGAGTGATGTTCACTTTAAACCAGGATCAGGACCAATCTGGATAAATAATGTGCACTGTAGTGGATCAGAGTCTACACTGAGGAACTGTAGATCACCAGGAGGGGGAAAACATGATTGTAATCATACTAAAGATGCAGGAGTCATTTGTTCTGGTAGGTGTTGCTGAGAAATTAAATTTTCACTCTTTAAATTTTATTTAATTTACTTTTTTAAAATATGTATATCTTTACAAAATGTGTTAACATGTTAATGTGTTCAATTGTAAAATACAAATAGGTTCAAAGTTAATAACAGAATGATATATGACCTGAGAAACTACAGTACTATACAATCTCCACTCTTATTTTAGGAGTCAGGCTGGTTGGTGGTCCTCATCGCTGCTCTGGGAGAGTGGAGGTGCTTCATGGAGAGACCTGGTCCACAGTGTGTGACGCTGACTTTGACCAGCAGGATGCAGAGGTTGTGTGTCGAGAGCTGGGTTATGGGCTTCCTGTGGAGGTGCTGGGAGCAGCTGCTTTTGGCAGAGGGGAGGGTCAGGTGTGGTCAGAGGAGCTTCAGTGTAGAGGCAACGAATCTCAGATTTACTTATGTCCAACATCGTCTTCACTCAAACACAGCTGCTCCCATGACAGTGATGTTGGACTGGTGTGTGCTGGTAAGAGCTGCATTGTTTCCTGTTATTCTTAGATTCTATGCTGTGATCAACTGTTTAGAATGTTATTCTGACAATTACAGACAGTGTGAGTTTGATGGATGGTGGCAGTCGCTGTGCTGGGAGAGTGGAGGTTCTTCATAGAGGACAGTGGGGAACAGTGTGTGATGATGGCTGGGATATGAGAGATGCTGCAGTGGTGTGCAGAGAGCTGCGCTGTGGAGAGGCTGTAGATGCACCGAGTGATGCTCACCTTGGATCAGAATCAGGACCAATCTGGATGAGTAATGTTCACTGTAGTGGATCAGAGTCTACACTGAAGAACTGTAAATCATCAGGATGGGGTAAATATAACTGTGTTCACAAACGATGTGCTGGAGTCGTCTGCTCTGGTAAGTTACAGTCAGTCATCATATTCATGATTTGTCATAATATTATCATCACTTCAGAATGAAGATTATGAATGTTATTGACTATATCTATCTGAGTGTATTTACCAATAATTCTCAAGTTGAAATATGATTAGTTTCTCTATTAGTTTTCAGGACAAAAGCAATAGGCTGACTAAAACTCCCTGTAGTACAATGTAATTGCATTATCCACAGTGGAACTTATCTGATTCAGATGAATGTGAAAACTATGAAAAAACATCCTGCACTTATATCATTAATCTCTAGGCTCTGTTTTCGTTATAAAGTTGATTTTAGCTGTGTCACCCTCAAAGGTGTTTTGATCAGTCCTGATTTTTAATGAATGTATTTTAATTTTGTATTTTTTATTTTGGAATGTACAATCTATCATTGTTTGTTTTAGAGAGCAATAGAACAGAATCATCATTGATTTCTATTCATTGCTATGCATTGCCTGCCAAAAGGCTGGGAACACATATGGGCAGGTTTACACATTTTTTGCACTGTTACAGATTCCATTTGACTTTTAAAAAGCGACTGTCACAGTTCACTAAATAGGCACAACGCCCTTATAGCAGAAGAAGATAAAAGCGGCGGATGCTGCTCTTGCGCCTTTGCCTCATTGCATATGCATTTATAAGAGTTTCTCTGTCAAAGCGCCGAATACTGAGAGAAGATTATTATAAAGAAGCGCTTACTGTGATTTACCAATACTGATAGTAAATATTAACTGTGTTATTTAACACTTGTGGAAAGCTTGTCCTATTTATTAGTGCTAATGTTGCTACCACTGTTTGTGTGTGGATATAGAAAAGAGAGAGGTTTTTGAAAACATTACCTTGTTTTCGACAGAAAAAAATATTTTATGAATGTCTGACATTATTCTTAATTGGACGAAGGAAATAAAAAAACTAGAAGGAAATTCTTTCAGTTAAACAATGTTTTTACCATAGATACCTAGATGCCGCGTTGTCTGTTGTTCTCTAACTGAAGTAACACGTCTGTGTGTCCGCCATCTTGTGTGTCCGCCAAGATCCGCTTGTGAACAAATTCGCTTGTATTGAGAGGTGATGAGTTTTAGGATTAAATCGGCCACAACTTCCTTGTTACTCAACTGATTTTCACAAAATTTGTTTTGTTATAATCCCCAGACTGCTCTCGGTAGCTTTGATTTCTTTAATAACTGTGATTGTGCTAATTAGCCGTCCAGACCAGCAGAAGAGTATTTAGTCTGCACTTGAAATTAAAAACAGTTTAGTGTGAGCTATGGTAGAAACATAATCTCACACACATCAGCAAATCCATCACTGTGTGAATCACTTCTAATCTACACAGATTAAGGAATGCTATAATTTACCTAGCTACAAAGCAACCATCATTTTAAATAGATAACTACTGCATCAAGTTAACATCCCCTAAACTGAACATTAAATGAAATAAGCTCAAAATAAAACCAAAGGAAAAACAATCACATCAACAGGTTCTTTGTGCCTCACCAACCACACGGCCATATCTACACATAAACATCACACAAAAAATACGCATGAGCGGGATCGCTGCGTTCCCGTTATATAATCCTATCCCGCTTTCTGAGCTCAATATTCTTGAAATAGTATCATTTTGGACAGAATCTTTCTTAAACTGCCGCTTTGTAATGGTACTGAATGCAGTCCAGCAGCGATGTTGACAACACTGTCATCTAGGCATGTATATCTATGGTTATGACTTAAGATAAATATTATATTTTTTTTTTTCTTAATTTTACTCATTATTGAGTCATTATTTAGACTTGAAGTCAAATCTTGAGAAAATAAGACATTATTTTGCATCATGTTACAATGAACCAGAGTCACAGTAGGGCTTTTTTTCTCTTATCTGGCAAATACATACTTTTATACAAAAAGTACTTGAGCCAAAAGTGGCTATTAAGTTTTCAATATTGATATATTTATATATTATAAACATTGGATTTTCTTGAAGACACATTTTGCAAATGGTTTGCATAATGTATTGTTTTATTGCTAACTTTTATTTATTTCACTGTTAATGTTTTCTGAATAAGTGAACGCTTACTGCCCAGATAAATGGTTTTAGATAGAATTTTCTTTGTATATTTAGACTTTAGTTTGTAGATGTATATTTGTTTTTGTGTATTGTTTTTCTGTTAGGAGTCAGGCTGGTTGGTGGTTCTCACTGCTCTGGGAGAGTGGAGGTGCTTCATGGAGAGACCTGGTCCACAGTGTCTGATGCCGGCTTTGACCAGCAGGATGCAGAGGTTGTGTGTCGAGAGCTGGGCTGTGGGCTTCTTGTGGAGGTGCTGGGAGGAGCTGCTTTTGGCAGAGGGGAGGGTCAGGTGTGGACAGAGGAGCTTCAGTGTAGAGGCAACGAATCTCAGATTTACTTCTGTCCAACATCATCTTCACTGAAACACAACTGCACCCATGACAGTGATGTGGGGCTGGTGTGTGCAGGTAAAGTATTCATATTTTTAAAAAGATTGAACAATTTGCTGAATTGCCTTAATCCTTGCACTTATCCATCTCCCTGTTGTACAGAAAGTGTGAGGTTGGTGGATGGTGGCAGTCGCTGTGCTGGGAGAGTGGAGGTTCTTCATAGAGGACAGTGGGGAACAGTGTGTCATAATGACTGGGATATGAGAGATGCTGCAGTGGTGTGTAGAGAGCTGCGCTGTGGAGAGGCTGTAGATGCATTGAGTAAAGCTCACTTTGAACCAGGATCAGGACCAATCTGGATGGATGGTGTGACCTGTACTGGATCAGAATTATCTCTGAAGAACTGTATAACAGAGGGATGGGGCAAACATAACTGTGATCATGGATGTGGTGCTGCAGTCATCTGCTCAGGTAAGCTGCAATTAGTCATGACATTAATGAATATGAGTTCATCTAAATGTTATCATTATGATCATAACTTATTTTAGAACAATGAAGATTGAATGTAAAGAACTTTTTTATATTAAATTATATACCAGTAGTTCTGAATACTGGCAAATGAGACAATGTGTACATGTGAAAAACTCTTATAATGTAAACAGTATAACTTAATCTATTTTAAATAATACCTTCTTAAACATTTATATGATGTACTTCTGCTCAAAAAACATATAAAAATGGCAGAAGAGTATGTCCAGGTCTTTACACTCATTAGGATTGTGAAGATTTATGAATAGACATATCAGTGTAAATTGGAAACACCTCATTACCCTTACCATTCCAAACCTTTTCTCCCACTACCATGCAGACTGTAATGTAAAAAAATGGAGAAAGTTAACAGAAGGAAATTCAGCTCTGCCTTGTTGAACAGAATAAGTAGTATGTATAATAACTGAGATGAAGTGGAGCAAAAACATAACAGTAAGCTTCTCACTTTAGCTTTATTAACCAGAAAATAAACTAAATATATTTTTAATTCAGGTTGTGCAAAGAGGAAAAAACTAAAATGTTCATCTTTTATGACTCAGGATTAAATGGTGATTGCCACCGCATTTCATTTATATATCAAGACTTTTTTCCAAAAATCAAGATATTAAGATATTGACGCTCATGACTTTGGGCAATTTAAGTAGGTTTGCCAAGAGGAATGGGTCAAATTTGAACTGCAGTGCTGCACAAATCTAATTACTTCTTACCATAGATGTGTTGAAGGTGTAATTACCAACAAATGATTTGCAACAAAGCACTAATGTTACTAATTTGCAGTGTCTGAATACTGAACTGGATTTAAACAATAAAATGAAACACAAAATAAACATTTAATATTTAACACAAAGGATAAAAAGATATTATTTAAATAATTCTCCCTTGAGTTGCACAGCACATTTAATTTCTCTCTTGTGTTACGTTCCTCTAACATTAACATCCTACACTGACTGCACTGAACAGTTATTTAGTGGAAACTTGTTGGAAACCATGACACGAATTTCTGAATATAATATGTACGTAGATCTGTAAATCTGTTATGAGTAATTTACAATGTTAATGTTATTCAAATACACACAGGTCACAGAAAGTCCAAACTCACTGACGGATTTCACCGCTGCTCTGGGAGAGTGGAAGTGCTTAATGTGAAGACCTGGTCCACAGTGTGTGATGCTGGCTTTGACCAGCAGGATGCAGAGGTTGTGTGTCGAGAGCTGGGCTGTGGGCTTCCTGTGGAGGTGCTGGGAGGAGCTGCTTTTGGCAGAGGGGATGGTCAGGTGTGGTCAGAGGAGCTTCAGTGTATTGGCAACGAGTCTCAGATTTACTTCTGCCCAACATCATCTTCACTCAAACACAACTGCTCCCATGACAGTGATGTGGCTCTGGTCTGTGCAGGTAAAGTATTAATATTTTTAAAAAGATTGAACAATTTGCTGAATTGCCTTAATCCTTGCGCTTTCCTTTAATGTGATGTTCATTCAGGTCACACAGGGGCTCGACTGGTGAACGGCTCTGACTCCTGTTCTGGTCGAGTAGAGCTCCAGTACCTCAGTGAGTGGGGCACAGTGTGTGATGTAAGCTGGGATATGAGAGCTGCCAGTGTCCTCTGTGGTCAGCTGAAGTGTGGGAGTGCTGTGGCTGTGTTGGGGTCAGACTGGTTTGGGGAGGGGAGTGGCCAGATCTGGGCTGATGTGTTTGATTGTCAGAGGAATGAAACACACCTGTCAAAATGTCCTATTTCATTATGGAGTCGAACTGCATGCTCTCATAAACAGGATGCTGGAGTCATCTGCAGTGGTGAGCTCTTAAAACTGTATACCAATAATTATTCATACTATGTTAGGAAAAAAACTGTAAAAATATACGGCACCCTCAATTAATTGAATATATTTTAGTTAAGTGATTATTTTCCTCTTCAGGTTCCTCTCTGGCGTTTCATGAGGGGCGAGTGCGGTTGTCTGGAGGGATGGAGTGTGAGGGGGAGGTGGAGGTGTACTTCAGACAGGACTGGAGGAGAGTTCTGCTGGACTCCTGGAGTGAGTCTGAGGCCTCTGTGGTCTGCAGACAGCTGGGCTGTGGCTCTGTGTTCAGCTTCTCCAGCTCCTCTCCATCCAGTCCTGAACACAGACACATGTGTGTGATGGGTTTCAATTGTTCTGGGAGTGAAGCTCATCTGGGGAACTGCGGCAGTGCACAAGCAGTCAACTGCAGCTCCAGAGAACAGCTCTCAATCACCTGCTCTGGTAATCATTTAATATTCTAAGTATAACGAGATAATAATATCTTCACTAAATTTATCCTTTCTAACATACGCTGTAATTGTGCAAAAATTAGAAAAAAACATCATGCGGTGGACAAATTAAGATCTCTATCTTGATCTCAGTCTTGTGTGTCTGTCTGTCTGTGTAGGTAAGTTTAATTCAGCTCGAGGCTCCATCAGGCTGGCTGGTTCTGGGGGAGACTGTGCAGGAAGGCTGGAGGTTTTCCACGGCGGCTCATGGGGGACAGTGAGTGATGACTTGTGGGATATTAAGGATGCGCAGGTGGTCTGCAGACAGCTGCAGTGTGGAGTGGCCCTCAGTGCTCCTGTACCAGCCTGGTTTGGACTCGAAACTGGACCCATATGGCTGAATGAGGTGGAGTGTGAGGGGAACGAGACGTCCCTGTGGAACTGCAGATTTCAGCTATGTGGAGAGGATGAATGTGGACACAAGGACGACGTAGGAGTTGTGTGCTCTGGTAGAGCATGTTGATCTTAAAGTCCTCATATCGTCTTATTTTAGGACAGGCTGTTATTACTTTATTTGTTTATCTTTCCTGATTACATAAAATATTTTCAATTGCCTTTGTGCAAAAACATTTTTGAAATTTTTGACCGAAGCAACATTGTATATTTCAACGAAGGTACATTTCCTAAAACATGTAAAAAAGCATATTCACAACAAGTATTAAGACTCAGTATAAGTTGTCTTTCTCTCACTAGAGTTTAAAGAGATCAGACTCACTGAGGGCTGTGAGGGGAACCTGGAAGTGTTCTACAATGGGTCCTGGGGTAATGTGTGTGAAAATGGAATGACTGAAGAAACAGCTAATGTGATCTGTCAGGAGCTGAACTGTGGAAGATTGGAGAGTCAGAGGGCTTCCAAAGCAAGAGTGAAATCAGTTCCTAACTGGCTGGATGATCTGAAATGTAGGAGTCATGACTCCAGTCTGTGGCATTGTCCATCTTCACCCTGGGGACAGAACAACTGTGATAATCGCAACGAGGTAGCTCACATTAAATGCTCAGGTAGGCAGCTTGTAGTGCTTTTATATGTTGTCATGAATAGCATGTGTGAAAATGAATTTGATCTAGAGTGTCAGCATATTAGCACAATGGATTTACATCCTAAATATAAATACAGCTAAATATAAATAAACTACTTTGACATATTCAAAGATGAGGGAAATTTTGAGCAGAGACGGCATCTAAAATGCTCCTCATCATCTCCTCATCAGAGACACTGCACAGGTAAGAACACACATTAATAATAAGTGTTAGTCCTCTTCACACACATAACTGCATTTGTATCACAGTGTATGACAAAGAGTAGAAATATTACCTTAGTAGTTTATAGCTGTATTGAAGTTTATTTTCAGACTGTCCTGCACAGTCAGTGATTCTCTGTCTCCTCATGTGTGATGTGTATTATGTAGATCACTTGCCTCTCAGGCTGAGAGGAGGAAATGGAAGCTGCTCTGGGAGGCTGGAGGTGAATCATAACGCTGTGTGGGGGTCCGTCTGTGATGATCAGTGGGACATCAGGGATGCTCAGGTGGTCTGCAGGCAGCTGGGCTGTGGGCCGGCGCTGAGTGCTGATGGGAGTGCTGTCTTTGGTGCTGGTGAAGGGCCTATCTGGCTGAACAGAGTGAAGTGTAGAGGGAATGTGGGACTGTCCTCATTCCCTGAAGAACCACACTGACTGCTCCCACAGGCAGGACGCTGGAGTCACCTGTATAGGTTAGAGGATCCTGCTGGACTTATAGCTTCTGACTCTAATTAAAAATGTTGATCACAGTATTTAAACCTGGAAGTTTTCATTAAATGGTGCATCAGTGCACTTTTGTTAAAATTATCTAATGCTAATTTGCCACATTCAGTGCTTAAACTGTTACAAAAATCAGAATCAGAACTGCTGTTTCTGTATTTACAGACATGTCTGTGCCTTCTACCACTCCACTCATAATAACAACCACCACCTCCAACACCACAGGTATTTTTATGTCTCTTAGACAGATAAAGATTTTGCTGTATGTTTCTGAATAGATTGTTCAGGACTCTGCACAGTTTCTGTTCTGTATTTTTATTTTTAGTTGGTCGGCCAGTGAAGAGAACAAACACTCTTTTACAAGCTCTTCCAAGTGCTGCTGTTTCGTCCATCTATCCAGTGTCTCTCCTCATCCTGGGAACGGTGCTCTTCTTGGCCTTAATGCTTCTGGTTGTGCTGTTTTACCAGAACAGAGTGCTCAGGAGAGGTAGAGAGATTCAGAGATTATCTACAATCCACTTTCTGTACATTCTCTAAACATCATTAGTCTTTCAATCTGTCAATCTGGCTTAATGTTTCTCTTTGTTTCCTTCACAGTGCTCTCTAAGAGGATGGAGAACATAGTCTATGAAGGCCTGAGAAGAGGGCTTGAGGGAGTCTATGAAGGCTTGAGTAGGGGCCCTGAGAGAGTCTATGAGGAGATTTACTGCAGATTCAATACTGCAAGAGCCACTCAGAGGGGTGAGTGTTCTACGAGACTTATTGTAGTGTATTTATAATGAATAAAGATTAATTGTATTCATTTGATCAATGATGATTCATGTGCATTCTTTATTTGTGTGTGTGTGTGTGTGTGTACACGGGGTTGTAGGCCTTTATTGTGGGATCATCTTTGCCTTCACTTGTTCTCTGTACTCTTCTCTTACTGGTGACAATCATTTCTCATTCTACCTGTTATTCTTGTATTTCTTTTATTTTTCTTGTATTTTTCACCTCCATGTTTTTTGTGGTTCTGCACCTTTCTGATCTGCAATACGCACAAATTTGTTGTTGAGTCTTATCAACTGCTATTACTGATTACTACTGTAATACTTTACAAGGAGGTAATACAAGCTTTATTTGGGGTTGTAAAGACTGAGTTTTACCAATGATGCATTATTAAATACTAATGTATGTTCACTGCAAGTGCTTTTTATCACATTTTAGCCTAGATGCCTAGCTAAGGAGCTAGCTAACTAAACAGGGACTTTGCTTAGCTGATTTTGTGTTAATGTATGGACTCATTAAGAAATAAAGCAGAGTAAACTCCTTCTTTAAGGGAATTATTTTAGGGTAATTTGCAGAAAATGCCCATAGGACTGGTTCACTTGGTGTGAACTGCTTTTTCAGTTAAGTGTCTACTTCTGACTACTAAACTCAAATCATAGCTTTCTCATTGATATTATCACGTGTGTGTGTGTGTGTGTGTGTGTGTGTGTGTGTATAGTTCGCTGTGTAATCTAGATCGCCTAATATAATGTTAATCTTAGTCAAGGCTGAAGATTATTTCATCATACATGAGGCATCATAGCTTTTTGCATGTTGGTGGGGTCCCCGTGTCATACAGTAGATTCCACCACTAGACTCTGGTTCAAACTGTGACTCAAGACATCAAAATAATGACATGTTCTTTAGATTTTGATTTACAAGGAATAAGTCTCTAAGAGACTTGAGATCCTGTCTGAACAAGCAGCCATCAAGATCTCAGAAATGACAAGGGCCACAGGTCAGCTACAGTGACCACCACAAGAGTGCTCTTTCCACTAAAGTTCAGGGCAACAATGCTTTATATGCTCTTGAAATCTTTCTAGATGCCCTCCCATTGACTTTAACTACACTGATGGTCATTGCTCACTCTTGTTCTTAAAATCTTGTTTTTTGTTTGTTTGTTTTTGTTTTTTGTTTTTCTATAAAATGCTTCTTGATGCTGCTTTTAGGCTTGTCTTGCCATGACTACCTATGTACCAGCACACAAGCTATCATTAGCTCATTTAGGTGAACCTCTAACTGCTGTGGGACACTGTTTTTAACACTTTTGCTGTGGGACACTTTTTAAATTGTTCAGGGAGTATCAGCTGCTTCATAGTATCAGCTGATTCAGAGTCTCTGCAAATGCTCTTAGTACAGCCTTTTTGACTACCTATCCACTGTGTTGACCTCAGCAAAAGCTTCTTGGGCTCTTCCTGTCAGTGTCTGTGAATGAGAGTTAGCCACTCATTATTTGGACAGTGCCTCTCCAGAACAATGCTTACAAATGTAAAAAACACTTTTTTTGAGGGATGAGTAGACATGTTGACATCGTAGCCTGAGCTTAGAGACATTTTGACTTCCTGAGTAGAACTTTCAATTAAGTAGCAAAAGTTAGCTTTGATAGCTACCTCCAATAAAGAAATGAATTTTAATCAGCGAGCTAATTAAATCCACAAATGACCAAATACAGCAGTCATGGTTAGCTAACTAGCTAAGAACATCCACAAAATGACCTAATACAGCAGCTACATAGCTATGTATGTCCACAAAATGACTGGATAGCTAGCTAATGTTAGCCTGTCAGCCACTGCTGTCACATAGATCATGCAGTTCCCACTTTTTTTTTACAAAAAATGTTCTTTTCCACCAGTTTAAAAATAAAGATTTGGCACTCACCCAGTACAAAACACTGCAGCTGGTCTCTGGCTGATGTGCTTCAGTATATGCAATGTACACAGTTACATTTAACAAAACTGAAAAAGACTGAAGTAAAACTGCAGTACTGTTTTTCTGCTAAAACCTACTGAGTAGCTGAAAAGGTTGTTTTCGTGTTGAAAAGCTGATTGAAATTAGATGCTGTAAGGTGAACTTAGATGGAGTTGGCCAGCTAGCCTGTGTACATTAATTTTATTTATTTATTTATTTATTTAAATGGTCGATTAGTATTGCTGTATTCACGGTATGGTATTGATACTGTTCTAGATTTGAAAAGTGTTAATGCTGTAATACATGAAATTTACCAAAATGTATTTAAAATTTACAGTAAATTACTGCAAATCACTGTACAAAGATTCTGTGGTAAAACACTCTTGGGAATACAGCAATAGTTGCCATGAAACAACTAAATAATTTAACCTGTTTGTTAAAATGAAATAAAAAAATCCCATCAGAAGTGCCTGTGATTCTGTGTCTGAGAGAGCCATCAACTGTCTGCACTGATATTATTTCCTGTGCCAGCCCAGCTACTACAATTACATTACAGCAGTGGTTTGACGTTACTCTGAGACTGCTAGTTCCACTAAGATATGATCAGGTAAACAGTGCTGTTTGAGAGTCATATTAGGATCCCACTAAGGTCTTAGTGTCATGCAGCATTTTTGCTACATTTTCTGGTGCCTCCATAGAACTAGATATATTATGACAGTTAAATGTTCTGCTCTCCTCTAACAGGAAGTATCCTCTCTGAAGCACAGCATTCAGGATATGAGGATGTGGATGAGGAGCTTCTCTCAGGTAAGAGCACGTGTGTGCATCAGATTCCATTCCACTGGAAAATATTGCAATTTAGAAACTCACTTACATGAATGTAATATGAATGAAACTTTAAATGCACGATGATCAGACAATAATCCAAATGGGCTGTAAAAGCTTGTAATATGATCTTAATTGGTGAGAACCTTGGTGATGCTTTATGAAAAAAAAGAGGAAGGAGAAGAGAAAATGTAATGTTATTTGTACTTTCACTCACGTTGTCGGATAGCCCCTAAATACATTCATTAATTAATTGCTTAACCTTTGAAACCTAAGAACTGGTGTGATCTTTAAATAGCTGTGATGAATTTGGGATTGAAAAGCATTGACAATAAAAATTACACAGGCACACAAATCCCCACAAAATCATGTGGCACTTTTTATTACATTTTGTGGTGCTTCCATGGTGCTACATGTGTTAGCTGCACACAGCTAAATGCCAGAGTTCTGCTCTTCTCTAACAGGAAGTATCCTCTCTGAAGGTCAGCATTCAGGATATGAAGATGTAGATGAAGAGCTTCTCTCAGGTAAGAGAACCTAAAACTACATTCTGCTGACAAATATTACAGTAGCCATTAGAAAATTTAAAATTCATCATAAATCCATGTTTTGTACAGTAATGCCAAAATCATTTACAGTAAATTCGATGTTTTAAAACTCAGCACATACAATTAATAACTATAGTCTCTATCCAGGTTGCTTTATATGATTTTCTAGTAACTTTTGCTGATCTTTACTGTTTCAGATTTTCTTTAACTGTTCTCAACTTCTCCTTATTGCTGAGTCTCTAGATCAGATGTTTCTGTCAGATTATTATTTAAAACCTTTCTGAATGAGCATTTTATTATTAAATTTAATAAAAAGTGATTAATATGCTCTTTTTACAGCAAAGTCTCTGTCTGGAGTGAAATCAGAATATTATGATGATGTCACCAGTGGTCTGACAAGTGGGTACCTTTTTAGTTAATCCCCTGATTTTTTTTATTTTTTATTTATATATTAAACCACAATATGAAAATATGATTGAACTGTTTGTAAAGTCAGTCTGCTTTTATTTGATGTAGATGAATCAGAAAAAGAAGACATAGCAGATAACTATGATGATGTCATCACCACTGGACAGATCTCTGAGAGTGTCATAGGTGGGTTTCTGTTTTGGGGTTTTAGCTTCGAACAAATTGAAAAGAAATTAAAAACCATACCAATATAACCAAATAATAAATGCTATAAAAACAGCATTAATATAAAAATGTGACAGTATTAATTCTTTGGAGTGTTTGTGGAGCTTCACTCTTTTAAATATATATATATATATATATATATATATATATATATATATATATATATATATATATATATAAACCCTCCAGCGGGTCCTATGATGAACTCGGGGTCTCGTCCCATTCAGGCATGTCTGATAAATCTCCAGCTGGAGGCTACCAGGGGGCAGCCTAATCAAATGCCCAAACCACCGACCAGTAAACAGAGAGCTTTGCCTTATAACTGAGCTCCCTCTTCACCACTACAGTCCAGTACAGCAACCATATTACTGCTGCCACCTCTCCCAGCCTGCAGCTGATCTCACGATCCCTCTTCCTATCACTTGCGAACAAGACTCCGAGATACATAAACTCTTCCACCTGGAGCAGTTCAACAGCATCTGCAAAAAGCAGAAATGCCACCTTCTGGCCTCAATGCATAATGCCCTCCTGACCTTGGCTACAGCTTGATATCCTGTCCACGAACAGAAGTGGAGACAACGCACAACCTTGTCTCAACACCCACACTGGATGAGCCTGACTTAATGCAGAGTATACGGACACAGTTCTCACTGATGGCCTACAGAGGCCGAATGGCCTGGACTAGTGGCCCCGGCACCCTGTACTCCCGAAGAAACTTCCACAGAATATCTTGGGAAACATGGGGGGTAAGCCTTCTCCAAGTCCACAAAACATATATAGACTGGGATGTCAAACTCTCATGCCCTCTCAACAATCCACATGAATTTGATAAGCTGGTCCATTGTTCCACGGCCAGGACAGAATCCGCATTGTTCCTCCTGAATCTGAGGTTCAACTATTAGTCAGAGTCTCTGTTTCAGCACCTTGCCAGAAACTTTACCAGGAAAGCTGAGCAGTGTGATACCCTGGTAACTGGCAGACACTCTCTGGTCCCCTTTCTTAAAAATGGGGACCATCACCATGGTCTGCCAGTCCAAGGGTACTGTTCCCAAGGTTCCTGTGACACTGCAGAGGCATGTCAGCTTTGACAGCCCCACAACATCAGGAAGTAAGCCTTTCTGGGCAAATCTCAACCACCCCTGGTGCCTTGCCGCCAAGGAGCTTGCCATGGCCCTGACTCCCATAATAGAGGCATGTCTCTTGAGTCTAGGAGTTCCTGAACTTCTTCCACTGACCAACAATGTCCTTATTAAAAGTCAGAGTTTCTCCACCCCTGCTGAGTACAGCTTGAGCAAAACCACTCTGACCACTCCTGAGTCACCAAACAGTTGTCCAGAACCTCCTTAAAGCAAACTGAAAGTCTTTTTCCATGGCCTCTCCAAACTCCTCCTTTGTTTTGCTGCAGCCTATTTTGCCCTTCGGTACCTATCTGCTGAGTCTTAAGTCCTCCAGGCCAACCAATCCTTAATGGTCTCCCTCTCAACTAGTGTCCACCAAGGGGTTCTTGGGTTACTGCCCTGACAAACACCAACAAGCTTTTGGCCACAGCTATGCTCACTGGCTTCCGCAATGGAGGTTTTGAACAGGGTCTATTCGGACACTCATGTTTTCCCTGCCATCTGATTCAACTCACTACCAGATGGTGATTGGTTGACAGCTCAACACCTCACTGTCCAAAACAGAAGGCTGAATGCTCCGAACTGTTGTGTGGTTCATAACCACACACAACAGTCAGTTTTGCTCCATGTGATTTTTATTTGCATTGAGGCGACCCTCTTGTCCACTGGAACAACCTCCAACTGCGCAGTTGTCAGCCATTGTGAATATCCCCACACCCGCCCAGTGCCTCTCACCCTGTGCAACTTCTAAGTAGGAGAGAGACTTGACCTATCAAGGTGTTTGGTTCCAGAGTCGACACTGTGAATGGAGGTGAGCACAACTACATCTAGTAGGTACCTCTCAGCCTCCCGCAAAAAGCTTCGGCTCCTTTCACTGGCGGGATGTCAACGGCCAGTTTCCACCGCAGGGGTCCATGCCACCAAGGACCTTCTCGCCATCTCCCACTGCCTATAAGGCACTGCACCTGTCCCTTATGCTAAACCTTGCGGGTGGTGGGCCCACATGGTCTCCTCATGTTGCCTTTTTGAGCTGAGCCCAGCCGGGTTACACGTGCTGCCCGGCCACCGGGCACTCGCAGAGGATCACTATCCCAAGGCCTGGCTCAAGGGTTAGGTCTCGGTAACAGTCTCCCAGGCAGGGTATATGATAAATTGCCTCCTTTGATCATAGGGGATTTTGGATCATGTTAGTCTGGGTCTTCACTCCAGACCTGTTTGCCTTGGGAGAACCTAACAGGAGCATACTGCTTATCTCTGAAGAGCCCTAGACCACACAAGCCCTTCCTTAATGCCAAGACCCCAATTCAGGAAGGGCATGTTTAAATCGGACTATGTCAAAAAAAACAAAACAAAACAAAAAACAAAAAAACCTAGTTAAAAGTTATTAGTGCTAAAGCTAATGTTAGGGTCAATGTCAATATATTCAAAGATAATGTTTGAAACAGCTGATAAATACTGCTTGCGGAAAACTACAGTCATTCAAAATGTAGCTTTGATATTCTAAATATCTCTGTGTTTTGGTGTAGAGGATGTAGCAGATAATTATGATGATGTCATCACTGCTGATCAGAGCTCAGCTGCTGAAACAGGTATGACTTGTAACAATACTGTGATCTCATACATGAACGCAGTCACTGATGATACTGATGCTGATTTAATGACATTTATCTTTACATTTTGACAGAAGACATGACAGATAACTATGACGATGCTGTTACCACTGAACCAAACTCCAACATTATGACAGGTAGGTATTACTTTAATATATACATTCTTTTAAGGTTAAAACTAAATTTAAACTAAACTTCTGTATAGTAAAATGTCTGGTTTGTTGCTTATTGTTAAAATGTATTTTCCCATGTTGGTGAAGGAGATGTGTATGCTGCTACATTCCAGATGTATATGAGTGTGTAAAGTAGAGTAAGTGATTCAATTGCACAGGAAGTCTAGTGATAAATGAGTTTTGTTATCAATGATAAATAAATAATGTCCTCTTTATTTTGATGTAGAGCCTTTTTATAAAACCTGCAGTTTTTTTTTTCATTCATAAAAGAAGTGCAGCTACATTTCTTTTAGTAGAGACAAGAAACAGTTGATTAGTGCCACACTGCTCTCTAGACAGGACTGGAAGTAATCAGTCCTCTCTATATCTGCCTAACTGTGTTCTAAGAATGATGGGACAGCGCAGATACTCAAAACTGAAACAGAATTGTTTGTGTTTTTGATGATTGTTTTTTCATTCTAGGGCACTGTGTAGATCTGTAGAACTGTAGGTTCTGGAGGGTTGGTGTCCAGACTAAACATAGTAATTAACAGATGAGTGAAATCAGGTGTGTTTGGACACCGGCCCTCCAGGACCAGAGTTAAGAGTCCTGCACTAAGGACCACCATGGAGGGAAATCAGACTGAAGTAAACTCATTCAGTATTCACTGGCAACTTCTTCTACACATGGATCATCTTAGCATTATGATGGAGTTTTGATAAATATGGGAAGAAAATACATACATACATCATCTAAACTGCTTATCCTTCTGGGTCGCGGTGGGGTGCTGGAGCCCATCCCAGCTGTCATTGGGCTGAAGGCAGGATACACCCTGGACAGGTCGCCAGTCCATTGCAGGGCAGACAGACATACATATACAATCACACACACACTCACACCTAGGGGCAATTCAGCATTTCCAATTGGCCTGACTACATGTCTTTGAACTGTGGGAGGAAACCCACGCAGACACGGGGAGAACATGCAAACTCCACACAGAGAGGACCCCGGTCGCCCGGCCAGGAATCGAACCCAGGCCCTTCTCAGCGCTACCCACTGCGCCACCGTGCCACCGGGTAGAAAATATTGGAAGAAAAAAATATTAGAAGATAGAAGAAAAAAAGAGATTTATTTAGTGAACAGTTTGTTACGTAATGGTCTATTTCCTTTTTTTCTTTTTGGATTTTTTTGGAAATGATGTATATATACAAATATATTGTTTTTTTCTCAGATTATGATGACTTGGAGGAGGAGCCTCAGACAGAGATGAATCATGTGGTCAAAAGGAGCGGACACACCCAGTGTCCTTCCTCAGGAAATTACACTCAGACCTCTTCAAATGCAAGAAATGACTTTGTTTTAGATCAGAATTCAATATATTTTATTGAGCCTAAATACTGCTGATTATAGCTTTACACATCACAAATAGAACATACAGGGATTCAACACCTGCATGTGTATGTACATTTGTATCCAACTTTTAACTTCATAAAAAGCATTTTGTACCAAAATATATTAATTTTTATTACAATTTAAAGATATTTTGTGAGAACTAAAGGGCTGTTTATTTTTTGTAGGTCATTTATGACAGTAAAGTATCAAAAGATGTTGAACATCTTCAGTCAAACACAGGAAGTAGGAACTGGTTTACTGTAATAAATTTGTATGAGCTGCTAATTTAACCCACTGATTGTGTTTGAAACAGACAGTTTCTATTATCAGTGTTGACATTCAAAATCAGGCAGCTCCTTATAACTGTTTACAGAGCAATTCTAAAACAAAATTACTCACCTAATTCTGCGCTGCACTGTAAGGAACGTGGTCTGGTCTTTCTCTCTCATGCTATTTGTAAACCTGTAATGATGATGAGATTATTACGATGATAGTTTGAGATTATGTCCTCACAGGCACTGCCACTCAATAATATCTTCCTGGTTTATTAAACACAAGAGGGCACTCCTGAATAGGTCACAATGAATGGGCTTCTTCAAAGCTTTTGTGCAAAATCTTAGTTTGTAAATCCTTAATCATTTTCATATAGAAAAATCCACTCATTTTCTCAACACAGAACAGCAAACAATGTTTCATCACGGTTTTACACTGAGTGCTTCTGAACTCTGAACACTTTATAACAGTGTTTGAGTGTTTTCTAGTGTTTGGTGTAATGGGAGAAATAGGAAGGGTCCAGGCTCCCCTTGAACTGGCTCTGAACACACTTAATCTAGTGATTGTGCATTTTGTAACATAACTTTACTCATCTGGAACATTGTGAAAAAGCTCCTACTGCTCTGATTGGTTGGGAGGTTCAGACTTGTGGGTATTCTAGTAGGTGTCGTGTACAATAAATTGTTTGAAACATTCATAATCATTGATAACAGTTCTCACACTATAATTACATGTTTTACACCATTGTGTAACAAAAGTCTAGTTAATACAGTTGTGCTGTAAATTGCTATAGAGTCCAGAACATAATAAAATAATGGTTTACAGTGTACAAGCTCTGTACTTCTATAGAGATTTCTGCAGTGTCTATCAGTCTCAGTGCTCTCATCATCTGCACATTTTCATCCGTTCATTAGAAAGTCTATCATGAGCTGCATCAGCTGTCTTAGAGCAGAGAAACAAACAATGTAGATTGAAGAATTTAAAGAAAGAACTGTACTGAACCACTGCTGTAATGTATTCAAGCTATATTGTTTTAAACTACTGTGTTCAGAATGTTTTTATAAAAATGATAATAAAATTAAAAATTACAATAATAGACCAAGAGCCTCGCATTCACACAAGAAATGTTACATCATGATGTTTCTTCAACGCTCTATAAACATAAAATTATTAAATGAGAATTTATTCCTGCTGTCTGATCCTCAGTGTTGCTACAGTAATCTGCTGATGTAACAGAACTGGCAGTTAGTGTTCTCCATCTATCACTGACACTGTATGAAGTATTAGCAGCAGTTTGAAAAAAAATGTGGTATCTGGCTTCATATGACTTGGAGGAAGCCTGTGCTAGCCTTCACCCTCCTAGTGCTGGTGGTATAGTGTCAGTCATGACCTATGACTTATGGTGATACCTAGCTAGTGGGTGGGACTAAATTGTGGAGGAAAATATAAAATAAAAAAAGAAGTCAGTACTGCTCATAAAAATTATTTAATAACACTAACAGTAACCTACACTCCCAGAAAAAAAAAGTTCTTGACTGTCACTGTGGTGGTATCCTCAAGGGGTACGTGTTCAGTACCTTTAGTGAGGGAACATAATTATAGCATATTACATTACAAATGTTTTCTTTTTTTTTAGTTACATTGACTCCACACACCTGGTCTTGACTCCTGGCTTTTCATGTTATTTTCTATTTAAAATATTATGTCATTAAAATGTAAAAATGTGTACAGGTTTGTTGGGAAAGTGAATTTTAAAAGTAATTTAAGGCACAACTGGACCTTAACACCTGTTGTACCTGTTGTATCTTTGAAGGTACATTTATACTGTTTGTACCTTGATGAACATAAATATACCTGTACAGTATCTGTTTTTACAGTATATACAGGATGCTGTTCCTTACAGGTGTTAGTCAGATGAATGGCCAGTCACACTGTCAACATCACTGTGACAAGTAAACACATAATGCTTTATATAATCTTACTTGTGTGTTTAAATACAAAAATAAACCCAAATCATTTATAATTCACTATCAAAATGCTGTAACACTCATAGATTTATTAACTGTCTGTAATCTCTCAGATACAGATACTTCTGATACAGATGTTGAAGCTCTAAGCCCTGAAAACAAGTATAAGCACTTATTTTCCCCTCATTACACACATTGAACAGATAAGCTGTGGAAAGTAAACACAAAGCGTCTAATAGAGCACATTTTTATGTGTGTGATCAAATACAAATATAAACTGGACAACTGCAGCTGAAAATCTCATTATTTCGGATCTTTTAATGGATGGTGTTTTATGCTTTTGTGTTTGAATGTTGTTTTACTACTTAAATTATGAGTTTACAGAATTTCTGTCTTTCAGATGAACAACAGTGTCAGATAATTTCATCATTTACAAATTCTTCTTTTCTTGAGTGAGTGATTAAAAAATAAACAATATTAAGTTAGATATTTTAATAATATCAGCTTTTGTGAAAATGGAAACATTCCTTGTTTGTGGACTCACTAGCTGTCTTCATATTTTGTGAATTGAAAAGGAAGTAAAAAGTTGAAATGTTTAGTTGAACTCTTGAAATGTGGTTGTGCGTCACTGCACTGACTGATGTGTGAAACTGTGAGCAGCTCATCGAGGATTTAGTGGGTTTAGTGTGAATTCACTTGTTCCCTTGCTTTAATCCCTTTGTCTAGAGAAGTGGCCAATGGCGGGTCCAGGGTTCCCGTCGGATCCATTTTCCATTTTCCGATCAAGAGCAGCTCTCCAAGGTGCTGACAGGAGCTGTCAAAGTTCAGCACCTGGTGTTGTGGACAGCCGGAGACCGCATGGCCACATTCTCTATCTCTCTCTCCCTCTCTCTCTCTCTCTCTCTCTCTCTCTCTCTCTCGATCGACTTCCTTCAGTCAGTCTTCACGATCTTTCTCCTGAAATAGTCACTCCCAGCAGTAGAGAGAGATCAGCGACCAGCCTTAGCAGAGAACCCTACTTTAAAGAGGCTGCATATCAGTTATGACTGTTTCTCCTGGTTGTTGTTGTTTTTCTTTGAGACACTGTTAATAAAAACGACCGTGTTGAACCGAATTCTCTTCTCTCCGTGGTCTCCCTCTCTCAGAGCCCCACAGACGTCTTAGTCTTTATTTAAGTCACAAAGCTGATAGTTCCTGTATTCAGACCTCAATCAAATGAAACTACTACTTATTTAACTCAAACTACGTCATCTGTCTGGGTCATGTCTCTGTCTCAGTGTCTCCCAACTGCAACACGTGCAGCAAATCAGTGTATTTACTTTTACAAACTGCTGCACATGAAGCATCATAGA